TACCAAGAATCAACGCTTCAATGACAAGGAAAATGTCACTGCAATAACGCCAGAACAACCTGATAGTCCGTCTTGCCCAGTGGCAGCTTTTCAGAAATACGTTTCTAAATTGCATCCTAAATGGCAAAGGCCACTGGGATCCTTTTATGAAGAGTCTGCTACTTGGTATTGAAATTCTCTAGTTGGTCGTGACACTTTGGCTCAATTTATGAATAAGTTAAGTAAACTTTGTTTGTTATCACAAGTTTACACTAACCATTCAATCCGGGCGACCGGCGCAACTATTCTAACAGAAAGCAGGTACTTTGCTGATGCTCAAATCATGTCTGTAACTGGCCTCAAAAGTGTCTCGAGTTTGGCAATATATCAAAGAACTTCCGACAAGGCAAAATTTCAAATGGGACAAATGATTGATGCTGCAATGAATGGAAGAGATCCTGATGCAAATGCCTTGCCTGCCACAAATCAACAACTAACATTACCTTCACCTGTTCAACCGTTGGCACTTCCTACTCCGGCTAGATCCTCAACAATGGCGTCCACTTCAGAAGTAACGCAAATGACAGAGATTAGAAATCAACTCTTTGGTATAAACATTAATGAGTTGTTCAGCAACTATGACACTGTTCCACAAATGCCAGTATTCCATGGTTGTTACATTTGATCCATCAACATAAACATGAACAACAAATTAATAACTTTCACGTCCGTATGTAATGAATATTGATTTGATCCACGTTTTTTTCAGCCATTCAGAACAATAACAGTCAATTTTACTTAATGTCGTGTTGTTCCAGTGAAAAAAATTAAAACTGTTGATTATCCATGAATATCTTTAATTAAATATGTAATACTCTAAGGATTTTATCCTATTATTACCATCATTGACATTGATTTTAGTAAATGCATCACTTGGCCACCACTTCGTCAATGAAAGGCACTTTTGACCTAGTTATGCAAATGACCCACGTTAACGTCACATCGTCTATGACGTAACGCTCGCGACATTAACCGCCAAATATGAATTTATTCAGTTTCTCTGTCTCTGGATTAAAAACGTCTTATATTTGACTACCTGTAGGGTACTACCAAAGGTAGTACCCTACACCCCGTAATAAATATGTCAAATTTCCAAATTTCAATAAAACTTTTTTAGATAATGAAAAAAACGTTGTTTTCACGTTACACTTTGTAAAATCATTCGATTCGGACTTAGACCGGGGATAAATTCGTTATCTGCGTTCATATCCGTAGATATGGGTATTTTAACACCCTTCAGTACCCTATACACTTCAGGGTGTTAAAATACCCATATCTACGGATATGAACGTAGATAACTTATAATGTCGGTTAAAGTATATTTTACTACCTACTTGAAATATACTTTGGCCATAATAAGGCGATATTTATTCAAACTATTTTTTCTTCCAGGTTACGATGAGGACCTTCAGTTAAGCATATTAAATATGTCTGACTAAGAATCGTATGATTTTGTAAAACCTCAGTTTTTCAATAAGCGGCATGGACGGTATAGAATCCACTTCCTTATTTTATAAACGTAGATATGTTTTTTTTTGGGTCAGATTTTGTATATTAAATTTATGTTGTGAGAAGTGAGTATTTAATTTATGTTTGTGGACAGATTTGTGTATCATTCAAACCAATACAAAATTACAGCTATCATTTCGGATATTGCAGACTTTTCAAACCAGTTCGCATTGGAAAAGATGACAAAGAGAAAAGATCTTTTCTTAAACTTTCCTTTGCCAACAAAGGTCTCGATGGCGTCAAGATAGGCAATATCCTTCATCATAAATTAGTTCGTTCGAAAATACCTCCTTATTTTAAAGATCAGTCTGTACCAATAATTTCTTATACCTATACCAAACCAATTGCAACTAAAATTTTCAATTACAAACACGTTATGCAGGATCTCAACATTGACGACTTCAAGTCTAAACCTCCTGATTGCACCTGTGCTAGTTCCCAATTCACATATAATCCGGCTGGCCACGTTATTACCGGAGACCTCAACATTGTCAATAACACTTCCCTGCGAAATTTGTTATCCAAAGGTCCGAAATATCGTGAGCCTAAATCCATCAATTGGAAATACAACTTCAAAATACTGATGGATTCAGTCGAGGATTATGCCAGGCAATGGGCTAAACGCGAGAAAGAAGACGTAGATACTCTTTCCGAATGGATTAAGGCTGTGAGGTCGTTGATACAAATCCGAATTAAGAAACTAAATGGGCATATCAATACCCACGTAACATCAATTTTTAAAGACCCAAATTTTGCAAAACACTTGACCTACCTCCATGACAAATATGTTGTTGTCCCCGCAGATAAAGCCCCAAACAACATCGTTTTTGTGTGTAAATATCATTACATAAACTGCTTGATAAATGAATTAGGTATTGACAATTCACTTGGAAACTCAACACAACCCTCACGACACTTACCAAAGAGGAAATCCTAGATAATCATAAGTCTGTTCTATGTTCCTTTGGAATTTCAACCAAAGATGAAGAACTGGATCTTCCATCACTGTATTGGATACCTAAACTATATAAGTGTCCTTACAAACAACGGTATATTGCTGGGTCTTCCAAGTGCTCCACGAAACATCTTTCTAAATTATTAAGATCTATTTTATCAGCAATCAAAGCCGGGCTCCAACGTTATTGTGAAACTGCCTATTCTAGAGGTGGCGTGAATCAGATGTGGATACTAAAAAATTCCAAAGACCTTTTAGAGTACATACAATCTAAGACTCTCTCATCTTGCAATAGTATTAAAACATTTGACTTTTCCACACTTTACACAAGTATTCCCCATTCCAAACTAAAAGACAAATTGAAAGAGTTGGTATTACTTTGTTTCATTAAAAAGAACGGCGAACGTAGATACAAGTATCTTGTCTTGGGGAGGGATAAATCCTACTTTGTAAAGAATCACTCTGATTAAAAAAAAAAATTCTCTGAAACTGACATTATCAAGATGCTTGATTTCTTGATTGACAACATATTTGTTACGTTTGGAGGACGTGTTTTTCAACAGACTGTCGGAATTCCAAAGGGAACCAATTGTTCCCCTCTTCTTGCCGACTTGTTTCTTTATTATTATGAGGCTGACTTCATACAGGAACTTCTTAGGAAGAAAGATAAGAAGTTAGCAGCATCCTTTAACTCTACGTTCCGCTATATAGATGATGTTCTCTCACTAAAAAATACAAAATTTGGTGACTATGTTGAACGAATCTATCCCATCGAACTAGAGATAAAGGATACTACAGATACAGTTAAGTCTGCCTCATATCTTGACTTACATCTAGAAATTGACAATGAGTGTCGGTTGAAAACAAAACTTTACGACAAAAGAGATGATTTCAGCTTCCCAATTGTGAACTTTCCATTTCTATGTAGCAGCATTCCAGCAGCGCCTGCATACGGAGTATATATCTGCCAATTGATACGATATTCCCGGGCTTGTGTTTCCTATCATGATTTCCTTGATAGAGGATTGCTGCTCACAAGGATGCTATTAAACCAAGAGTTCCAAATGGTGAAGTTGAAATCATCCCTTCGTAAATTCTACGGACGCCATCACGAGTTGGTTGACCGTTATGGAATAACCGTTTCACAGATGATATCGGATATGTCGTAGTTATGTCGTAACTACAATACCCTTCCCTTTTCACGAATGTGACCTACCGAATTAGACTATTTACCGGATTTGTAATAACATAAGCAACACGACGGGTGCCACATGTGGAGCAGGATCTGCTTACTCTTCCGGAGCACCTGAGATCACCCCCAGTTTTTGGTGGGGTTCTTGTTGCTTAGTCTTTAGTTTTCTATGTTGTGTCATCTGTACTATTATTTGTCTGTTTGTCTATTTATTTTTGGCCATGGCGTTGTCAGTTTGTTTTCGATCTATGAGTTTGACTGTCCCTCTGGTATCTTTCGTCCCTCTTTTTAGTACATTGTACATGTCTTAAAGAAGTTTAATGTATTGTACTGTAAACTATTTGTCTATTAAGTAAAGCGATGAATTCACTCATATAAACAAACTTTTATAAAAAAAATTGAGAATGGAAACGGGGAATGTGTCAAAGAGACAAAAAAAAAAAAAAACAACCAAAGAGCAGAAAACAGCCAATGTCCACATTTGGGTCTTCAACACCGCGAGAAAATTCCGCTCCCGGAGGCGGGCTTCATCTGGCTCCTAAACAATGATGTATACTAGTTCAGCGAAAATGGACGTCTCTCGTAACTCCGAAACATAAATGAACCAAAATTAAAAAACATACAAAGACAAACAAAGGCTAGAGTTTCCTGACTTGGGACAGACGCAAAAATGCGGCGGGGTTTTAAACACACAGCAATACGGACATTAAACGCAGTTAAAAAGAGGTCCGAGTCAGATGTTAGAATAGGTAACAGAAGAAACTAAGCAACATGACAATGATAACATGAATTAACAAAGGACTACAAGCAGTTACTAACATACCAACTCTAGACCTCAATTAAACTGATCGAAAGATTATGTCTTCATCATCTGATAAGAATTTTATAGGTAGATATTTATGAACAAAATTTTTCTCTGTGTGAATCATATAAATGCATTCGTTTTTTAGTAAATCTTTTTAAATCAAGTCATAATTTTTTTTAATACAGCTGTATTATTACCATAATAAAAAAAGAAATGTCAGAATGACATTGTTATATTAGGATTATATAGCTTGTGAATACAAGCACAAAGAGATTAGTTATACATCAATGCACCACATAATTGCATTCTTACCATAAGTACTATTACAACTTAATCGTATTACAGAATGCACGTTAGTCACGTATACAATGATGTATTTCCGGCATTGCTTATTTAACGGGATTTTTTTGCGTTTTGAAATTAGGTGAAAAGATATATAAAATACAATGTGTTGCAAATATAATCAGTTTTTAGTTTGTTTAATAAATAATGTTTACTAACGCTTAAGAAGACTTTTTATTGCAGTCAAAACTCAACATATGCAATCAGTGTCAAAGGTCTTTAAATATAATGTATTCATAGATATTTGTTCCACACAGTTCTTTGATTAAATAAAACTGTTTCTCCTCTACATTATACGGCATTTTAGCAACAAAGATAAACAGGTAAGCTTTATCAGATTGTGAATTATATTCTGGTTTAGGATTTTTGTTTTATTTCTGCTGTTAATTTTTTCCCTTAACTCTTCTATTTTCCACAGAAAAAAATTGCCAAGTTTCGCTTCCGATATTCTGTATAAGTCCTTATGATGACTGTAACATTAGCAAGACGTTCAAAAACTGTTTAATCATTTAGCGCACATATATTTATTATTTATAACAAAACATTATGCTGTTTCCTTTATGTTATAGTTCATGGATACACAAAGAGTAACCATGAGACTTGTGTTAAGTCTACTATTGGCTTTCGTTGGGCTCGTATTGACCAAAAAGTAAGTTACAGCACATTTTGTCTGCAAAAACCCTAACCAAAAACCGTAACTATACGATACCTCAAATTAAAATAAAATTGCGTTCGGTGTCCTTGTTCATAAATAAAGGCAACAGTAGTATACCGCTGTTCAATAGTCATAAATCGATTAAGCGAAAACAAATCCGGGTCACAAATCAAAACCGATGGAAACACATCAACTTTAAGAGGAAACCTCTTAACAACAATAACCCAGAACTGCACCGAAAACCAATTAAGGACATTTTTATAATACAATGCAATATAGGAACCAGTATATGGGAATGGAAGTAGTTAGGTGAGCTATTCAACCAGGTTTAACCCACCGTTTTCATAAGAAATTGGCCGTACCAAGTCAGGAATATGACAGTTATTTCTATTCGTTCCGTTGGTTAATATAGTCGAGCGTTTGATTTTGTCAGTTTTTATGGACTTCTCCCTTTCTGAATTTTTCTTGGATTTCGGTAATTTTGTTTATATTTTTCCATAAAATTAAACATACTGTTTATTTGTCATTTGAAATAATCAAAAAAGTAAATACAAAACCTTGATTATAACAAAACCTAAGTGAACGCGGGGTATGCAGTTTCTGCATCGCGTATGGAAAGCGCCGTTTAGTAATAATGACACATTATTACAATTAATGATGTGATAAACACCGAAAGTATGATGGTACTGTGGTAAACACAAATGAAACATATCCCTCGTCATCTGTGATACAGAAATTCCAGATATTACATAACGATCAACCATACCATGCGGACTCTAGTAAGCCTTTCGAAGGGATGTCTCCAACTTTACTATGGAGAACCCTTGGTTTAGTAGCTTCTTTCAAGGAAATCCCGATAGAGATTACAGCTGTGAAATATCATAACAACTTAGAGATTACACATGGAACCCTCATTGGAAATGTCTAGCCTAAGTGTTGGTCAACATATGAAGCAGACCAAACTGAACCTGTGGTACACATACATGCATTCTTTATATCAAGTCCAATGGATATATGCGACATAACCCTTCTTGAATTTTTAAAAAAATGTTCATTTATTATGACGTTTGTTCCTTTTACATGCTTTAATGTGAAATATCTGAGTGAAATGATAGACAAATGTAATTCACTTTACTTAAAATGATGACAATTTTTGAATTGAAAAATATGTATTGGCGTATAAATTTTTGTTTTTAATTGGAATTTTTGTTCGTATATCAAATTAGCATTAGGTACATTTTACCAGCTTAAAACCATGCTAACTGATATATTAAACCAATTAACATTTCAAGAACATGAACTGTATGTTGTAATAACCAGAATAAAATATGGTTTGGACCTCAACTTTTATGGCATTCATATTTGTAAGTATGAAAAGGAATCGTATTGAAATCATGATAAAACAATAATAAGGATTCAGAAAATCATAAGACCTAAATTACAGAAATTTGTAATTAATAAGTGCTTTGTAATTTATGCCTTGTAATTTTGTTACAGTACATACATAGCAACTGTACCAAAACAGATAAGAGCTGGATCATCGGCTAGAATTTGTTTATCAGCTGTAAAGAGAGGTGTTAGGCAAGTAACAATCTTTGTTACAATATTAGACAAACAAAACGGAACAAAAGCTACAGCCCAAGAACAACGCAATTTACTTCGTGAGTTGAAATATAGAAATTAAATTGTGCTCATAAGATTTATTATGATCAAACTGATAAAATCGACCAACCAATGGAAATTTTGAATAAATTATGATTATAATTTATTAAGACGAATAACAAAGTTATCCTTAACACAAGGAACTGTGTTGGACACAAGTCTTGGCAAAACGACGAAATTAAACTTTACACAAAAAACTGTTGTATATACACGTCATGGTAGAATGACGATATTATACTTAATACAGAAAACTGTTAAACGTGTTAAATATAAGTCATGAGAGAACGACGAAATTATACTTAATACAAGGAACTGTTGGATACACGTCATGGTAGAATGACTGACGAATTTATACTTAACACAAGGAGCTGTTTGGTACACGTCATGGTAGAATGACGAAATTATACTAAATACAAAGAACTATTAGATACACGTCATGGTAGAATGTCAAAATTATACTTAACACAAGGAACTGTTGGATACAAGTCAGGACAGAACGACGAAATTATACTTAACACAAGAACTGTCGAATATAAGTCATGGCAGAAGCTGTGCAATTTGAATACAATAAAGCAATGGTAGTTTACTAATTTTCAATTCACGTAAATAAATAAAAAAGAGACATCAAGGCAACGAACAAAAACTAAATGAGTCGCATGAACCCCAAAAGTATAAAAGTGATCATGCATGCTGTCAAAATAATCTTTGATATTATCATAGATGACCAATCATACTTTACATTTAAATACATGTTTTGTAAATGTACAAGATAATTTTAGTTTTACAAGTCATATATTTCATACATGATGAAATTGTTGATCTACAATTGAATGTATTATTTCTTTTTCTTAAAGGGGGACCTGGATATGTTGATATAAGAGTAAGTGTAATACATTTGAATTGAAGGATATGCTTGGGAAACATTGGTAAAATCAAACTTAGTAACGCATACAAGTATACCAAATTAATGTAGACATACATGGGTACTGAAATAAAACTTAGTTAAACACGCATATATAAAAAAAAAAAAAATAAAGACACACAGAGGTGATGAACTAAATAAGGGTGACAGAAGTTTACCTATGTTCAAATCTCCTGAATCGATTAGAAGATACAAACCAAGGTAACAAACAGAACGGCATGAACATCAAGGAGCGATATAGGGTGCAATTGTAAAACTTAGTTACACATAGAAGTGTCACCAAACAAAATAAACATACAGCGGTGATAAAATACAACCTAGGAACACATTCAAGTATACCAAAACAACGTAGACTTACATTGGTGATGATAAAATAGATCCTTTTAACACGTGTATCAGAACAATGTAGATATACCGGAGCGGTAAAAATAAATACTAGTAACACATGAAAGTGAACCTAGCAATGTAAACATACAAATGAGATGAAAATTAAGCCTAGTGACACACGCAAGTGACCCAAAACAATGTAGATATAAATCTTGTTTTCAGTTACAATAACATCTTCTCGAACGAACCCAATGAAAATGGTTCTAGAAACATTTTACCATAGTGTTCACTTAAATTGGTACGATGCTACTCGTCTGGTCAGTGATACTTAAGAAATATGGCCAACATGACGTTAAATGATCGAACAAAACTAATAATAATCTCACCATATATACAGCAAAGTGTTTTTATAAGATGAAAGTTAATTTGAAAAAAAAAAAAAAAACATTTGTTATACTTTGTTTTCAATTTTTTTTTTAAATGTTGAATTTCAGTATCTGTGTGATATTTCTTTTAGGTACCCGAAAATACCGTTGTAGGAGATGATTACAAGATAAAAGTGAGCGTTAGCGGTGATATCACATTTGACCAAACTGCTACAGGAATCATAGTAACAAGCAAAGCGTCGTCCATTTTTATCCAGACTGACAAAGCCGTTTACAAACCTGGCGATTTAGGTAATTATGACCTCATACTTTAAGTAGTTATACAGTCATAAGTAAAAATGGAACGGACAGCTCATAAGTATGAAGTTAAAGCATGGTATAAAAAAAGTAAAACAACAAAAAGACCGGACTCCTAGGATATTTCAAAACGGAAAGTCCCTTAAGAAATGCCAAAATCAAAAGCTAAAACACATCAAACGAATGGAAAACAACTGTCATATTCCTGACTTGGTACAGACATGTTCGTATGTAGAAAATGGTGGATTAAACCTGGTTTCAAAGCTAGCTAAACCTCTCACTTGTATGACAGTCGCATAAAATTCCATTATATTGACAACAATGGGTGAACAAAACAAACAGACATAATAGGTAAACATGTCAAAAATAGGGGTACAGCAGTCAACATTGTGTTATAATCTCAATCACTATAAAAACAAACAAATATGTCAACAAAGAAAAACAAAATGGCATATAGACAAAGCACATACACAAGAATACAAAACATGACCACAGCACAACAACACAATGGCGTGATGTACAAGTACCGAGCCACGTCTAAAGGATATTACCAAAAAATGGACCAAACAGTAAACGTTAATAATTTACAAAGACAAATAAAAGAACACTATAACACGTAATTAGGATGATAAACAACGTCAGTACCTAGAATATATACAGCAAGACCATCATGTATTATTTGTGAAGTTGATACGGTATATTTATCAACAAGGTATTGGTATCTTCCGATGAACATTTTTTTAGAAAAAAGGACAAGACGTTCTTTGACATAACCCTGGTTCAGTAACTTTTTTCTCAGACACTGGTGACGTTTTACAAAGTCTGAGTAGCAGCTGCAAGCTCTTGAATACGGAATGAATTGAGAAATCTATATCCGATATGCAGGTGAAGTTGGTAAAATTATATTGTTTTTTTCTTTGTCATAAGTGTTGCAGAATTTTTAAACTGTAATATAGCTTGGACTGACAGAAATTGGCAAATAATCTGCATTTTAATATCCATTTGACAGCAAATTTATGAAATCTTTTTAGTTGTCTTTGAGAAGCATTGATTGCTAGTTTGTTTATTGTATCAGATTATTTCAACTTCCCAATTGTGAACTTTTCATTTCTATGTAGCAACATTCCTGCATACTGAGTATATATCTCCCAGTTGATACGATATTCCAGGGCTTGTATTTCCTATCATGATGTCCTTAATAAAGAGTTGCTGCTCACAAAAAAGCTCTTAAAACCAAGAGTTCCAAGTTGTAAAGTTGAAATCGTCCCTTCGTAAATTTTACGGACGCCATCACGAGTTTGTTGACGGTTATGGAATATCCGTTTCACAGACGATAGCAGATATGTTCCAAATGTAGTAACTACAATTCCGTCCCTTTTTTTCCCGAATGTGACCTACCAAATTAGACTTATTACCGGATTTGTACTAACATGAGCAACACGACAGATGCCACATGTGGAGCAGAATCTGCTTACCCTTCCGAAGCACTTGAAATCACTTCCAGTTTTTGGTGGGGTTCGTGTTGCTCAGTCTTCTGTTTTCTATGTTGTGTTTTGTGTACTATTGTTTGTCTGTTGGTCTTTTTTCTTTTTAGCCACGGCGTTGTTAGTTTATTTTCGACTTATGAGTTTGAATGTCCCTTTGGTATCTTTCGCCTCTCTTTTGTAACATGTTAAGAATTGACAAATGAAATCTTTAAATGAGTGGAGCACCATGTTTCATGTTTATATATCAGGAGTTAGTAGCAATTGAGCTACTTAGATTTACATTCTTTAACAACTTCTAATATTTTCATAACTAGTTGTGGGAACGTATATCGGTTATATAGTTACATCTCCTAAGTGAGAACATTGCAATCATTCAAATTATGATAAATATTTGGTTTTGTTAGAGAAATATAAACACATGAAGCTTTCTGTTTAATGGACCAACTGTATTTATTTTTCAACAGTTCAGTTTAGAGTGTTTGGTACTAATACAAGATTAAAAGTTCTCAAAGATCCTTTGACAATTTATATACAGGTTAGTTCATTCAAGAATTTGTCGTTAAGATCCATTTTGTATTAACTTGATTAACAAATTTCATAGGACTCCGACGATAACACAGCTGAAAGAAATACCAAAAAAGTAGCCGTTTATTTGAAACCGAAAAAAAGAATAGAAAAACAATATTGATAATGGGAGATTTAAAGAAACGACTTAAACAAAAACATTACTGACTTAATACAAAAAGTGCAGACATATTTAAGACAAAAATGAAATGATGTCGATATAAATGGTAATGTTCAATTTTGAGTCAAATCAGAAAGATAAAAAATAACGTTTCATTAATTCTGTGCTAATTTGTATTGAAATTTAAATCAAGAATTACAAAACCCCAAAACATAAGTGTCAAGGATGTATTAATACCTGACACCTTGAGGAGCTATATGTTATACATAAATACATAATATTATGAGAACCTATATAACAAATGCTGACTTCATCTATGGTCATCTTTGTCTGAAGGAAGATGGAATTAGTATTTTGAATAATTTCTGAATTTATCAATGTGGTGTTTAAGAAAATTATATTAAACATCATGTCGTCAGTACCGAGAAGCTAATGATACCATCGCGTACTTACAGTCTAAATGTAGTTGTATAGGCAAAATGCTAGAAAATGTAATGAAAAATATTTTATAAATTTCGTGCGTGCTAATCGTTTTTGCTAGATTTGCCTTCTCTAGGAACACTCAAACCCAATACATATAAAATTTCAGTATCTGTAAATATATAAAACCCCATTGAGCATTTTGAATTAAAAAGACCTACAAAGAAAAGTAAAGTTCAGCTACGGTCAATTTTACCTGAGGGAATTGTAACCTTAGTTAAAAAAATCAACTCAAAAAAGTATGTTATAAATCATGTTAATACCGAAGCACTGACAACGGAGCAGTGGATACCCTCGTTGATTAAGAGTCCATCAGTAGTGGTTTCGATCCTGTGATAGTTAATTTAATATCACTTTATAAATTTGATATATCTGAGGGAAGTAGATTCCATTGTCAGGTAAGCCCTAAGGAGAGATATACAGTAAATATTGTTCCGTCTATCTACCTTCAATGAAATAGTAGTCTCAAATAACAAGTTTGCATAAATAAAATACTTGTGATTCTTATTCAAAACAAGATCATCTTAAGACAGTACTCAGTTCAGGTCCAATTTTACCATTCATTTTAGAATTATTTGAAAAAAAAAAAAAAACAAAAACAAAACGTTATAAATTTCATGCGTCAGAAGCGCTTTTCTGGATTCCGAATATTTGAAAGCCAAGGATGTATAAGAACCGAAGACAGTTGAAGAGCTATATGACCAAAAAAGACCTTAAAATAGCCCAATCAATCTAAGGTCAACTTTGTCTGAGGAAATTGAAATCTTCGTTTCTTTATAATTTCAAAATCTATTAACGTAAAAATATTAGAAAGGTTTATTTTAAATCAGATCAGTACCAAAGTACTGACAACTGAGCTGATAATACCCACGGGGACTCATAGTCAGCAGAGGTATTGACCCAGTGCGGGAACAATGAAAACAACACGTTGAAATATATACTCAGTTTCAATCTGATTGACGAGCATTTAAACTACTGAAAATAATTGTTTCATCATTCAATGGGTAGTTAAACAATCTTAAGGAGTGTGACATCATCTCTTTCTTCAGCCCGCTGTATGAATATTCGCGTATAATTACAGCTTTTTGCCACCATAGGCTGTTCCCGCGTATCGACAAACCTAAAGATCATAAACGTCATTTTCTAAAAATTAAATATATTAGCAGAAGTATTGATTTTATCAACTTATCTAGTATATTTAATGACTCTACCGTTCAAAACTTCATACCTCCCTATTTTGATAACACAGAACCACCTTTTATTTCATACACATACAAAAAATCCAGCAGAAGTTTAATTTTTAATTATACACCGGTAACATCAGGCGTCAATGTAGAAAATAATACTCCTTTAACTTGAAACTGTGAACCGTCGAAGTTTAGATATGTTCTCTATGGCCATTTTATTACGGGGGACCTCAATATCGTCCAGGACAGAGAGGTTAAACACTTTTTGAAAAAAGGACCAAAATATCGTCCTCTATCTAAAATAGATTGGAAACAGTGTCGTCAGGTCACCAAAGATGCTCTTTCCTCGTTTTGTAAAAATTGGTGTAAACGGGAAAAATCTGATAAAAAATCTCTTGATTCTTATTTAAATAAATGTATGAATGTGGTAGATAATAGAATATCACATTTTGAAAATAATTTAGAAGTAAATAATAGAGTACATAGTACGCCTATTTCCAGAATAAGAAATAAACTTCAAGAACTTTCAAAGCAGTTTGTGTTTGTACCGGCCGACAAAGCAGCCAACAATGTGGTGGTGGTATGCCGAAAATACTACACGGACGTTCTTAAGAATGAAAGTTTAAATTCATCTACATTTAAGTCCATGCGCCCCACAAAGAGTCATATAGTTAACAAACATATCATAACCACATCACAGCTTAAGGCTTCTTCTGAACATTTGAAGGTCTCTACTATGTATTGGTGACCCAAACTACACAAAAAAACAGTAAAATATCGTTTCAACTCGGCCTCTAGTAAGTGTTCTACAACTAATCTTTCAGTGCTTTTAACAATTTTAAATCAGATCAGTACCAAAGTACTGACTACTGAGCTGATAATACCCACGGGGACTCATAGTCAGCAGAGGTATTGACCCAGTGCGGGAACAATGAAAACAACACGTTGAAATATATACTCAGTTTCAATCTGATTGACGAGCATTTAAACTACTGAAAATAATTGTTTCATCATTCAATGGGTAGTTAAACAATCTTAAGGAGTGTGACATCATCTCTTTCTTCAGCCCGCTGTATGAATATTCGCGTATAATTACAGCTTTTTGCCACCATAGGCTGTTCCCGCGTATCGACAAACCTAAAGATCATAAACGTCATTTTCTAAAAATTAAATATATTAGCAGAAGTATTGATTTTATCAACTTATCTAGTATATTTAATGACTCTACCGTTCAAAACTTCATACCTCCCTATTTTGATAACACAGAACCACCTTTTATTTCATACACATACAAAAAATCCAGCAGAAGTTTAATTTTTAATTATACACCGGTAACATCAGGCGTCAATGTAGAAAATAATACTCCTTTAACTTGAAACTGTGAATCGTCGAAGTTTAGATATGTTCTCTATGGCCATGTTATTACGGGGGACCTCAATATCGTCCAGGACAGAGAGGTTAAACACTTTTTGAAAAAAGGACCAAAATATCGTCCTCTATCTACAATAGATTGGAAACAGTGTCGTCAGGTCACCAAAGATGCTCTTTCCTCGTTTTGTAAAAATTGGTGTAAACGGGAAAAATCTGATAAAAAATCTCTTGATTCTTATTTAAATAAATGTATGAATGTGGTAGATAATAGAATATCACATTTTGAAAATAATTTAGAAGTAAATAATAGAGTACATAGTACGCCTATTTCCAGAATAAGAAATAAACTTCAAGAACTTTCAAAGCAGTTTGTGTTTGTACCGGCCGACAAAGCAGCCAACAATGTGGTGGTGGTATGCCGAAAATACTACACGGACGTTCTTAAGAATGAAAGTTTAAATTCATCTACATTTAAGTCCATGCGCCCCACAAAGAGTCATATAGTTAACAAACATATCATAACCACATCACAGCTTAAGGCTTCTTCTGAACATTTGAAGGTCTCTACTATGTATTGGTGACCCAAGTTACACAAAAAAACAGTAAAATATCGTTTCAACTCGGCCTCTAGTAAGTGTTCTACAACTAATCTTTCAATGCTTTTAACAATTTTAAATCAGATCAGTACCAAAGTACTGACTACTGATCTGATAATACCCACGGGGACTCATAGTCAGCAGAGGTATTGACCCAGTGCGGGAACAATGAAAACAACACGTTGAAATATATACTCAGTTTCAATCTGATTGACGAGCATTTAAACTACTGAAAATAATTGTTTCATCATTCAATGGGTAGTTAAACAATCTTAAGGAGTGTGACATCATCTCTTTCTTTAGCCCGCTGTATGAATATTCGCGTATAATTACAGCTTTTTGCCACCATAGGCTGTTCCCGCGTATCGACAAACCTAAAGATCATAAACGTCATTTTCTAAAAATTAAATATATTAGCAGAAGTATTGATTTTATCAACTTATCTAGTATATTTAATGACTCTACCGTTCAAAACTTCATACCTCCCTATTTTGATAACACAGAACCACCTTTTATTTCATACACATACAAAAAATCCAGCAGAAGTTTAATTTTTAATTATACACCGGTAACATCAGGCGTCAATGTAGAAAATAATACTCCTTTAACTTGAAACTGTGAATCGTCGAAGTTTAGATATGTTCTCTATGGCCATGTTATTACGGGGGACCTCAATATCGTCCAGGACAGAGAGGTTAAACACTTTTTGAAAAAAGGACCAAAATATCGTCCTCTATCTACAATAGATTGGAAACAGTGTCGTCAGGTCACCAAAGATGCTCTTTCCTCGTTTTGTAAAAATTGGTGTAAACGGGAAAAATCTGATAAAAAATCTCTTGATTCTTATTTAAATAAATGTATGAATGTGGTAGATAATAGAATATCACATTTTGAAAATAATTTAGAAGTAAATAATAGAGTACATAGTACGCCTATTTCCAGAATAAGAAATAAACTTCAAGAACTTTCAAAGCAGTTTGTGTTTGTACCGGCCGACAAAGCAGCCAACAATGTGGTGGTGGTATGCCGAAAATACTACACGAACGTTCTTAAGAATGAAAGTTTAAATTCATCTACATTTAAGTCCATGCGCCCCACAAAGAGTCATATAGTTAACAAACATATCATAACCACATCACAGCTTAAGGCTTCTTCTGAACATTTGAAGGTCTCTACTATGTATTGGTGACCCAAGTTACACAAAAAAACAGTAAAATATCGTTTCAACTCGGCCTCTAGTAAGTGTTCTACAACTAATCTTTCAATGCTTTTAACAATTTTAAATCAGATCAGTACCAAAGTACTGACTACTGATCTGATAATACCCACGGGGACTCATAGTCAGCAGAGGTATTGACCCAGTGCGGGAACAATGAAAACAACACGTTGAAATATATACTCAGTTTCAATCTGATTGACGAGCATTTAAACTACTGAAAATAATTGTTTCATCATTCAATGGGTAGTTAAACAATCTTAAGGAGTGTGACATCATCTCTTTCTTCAGCCCGCTGTATGAATATTCGCGTATAATTACAGCTTTTTGCCACCATAGGCTGTTCCCGCGTATCGACAAACCTAAAGATCATAAACGTCATTTTCTAAAAATTAAATATATTAGCAGAAGTATTGATTTTATCAACTTATCTAGTATATTTAATGACTCTACCGTTCAAAACTTCATACCTCCCTATTTTGATAACACAGAACCACCTTTTATTTCATACACATACAAAAAATCCAGCAGAAGTTTAATTTTAAATTATACACCGGTAACATCAGGCGTCAATGTAGAAAATAATACTCCTTTAACTTGAAACTGTGAATCGTCGAAGTTTAGATATGTTCTCTATGGCCATGTTATTACGGGGGACCTCAATATCGTGCAGGACAGAGAGGTTAAACACTTTTTGAAAAAAGGACCAAAATATCGTCCTCTATCTAAAATAGATTGGAAACAGTGTCGTCAGGTCACCAAAGATGCTCTTTCCTCGTTTTGTAAAAATTGGTGTAAACGGGAAAAATCTGATAAAAAATCTCTTGATTCTTATTTAAATAAATGTATGAATGTGGTAGATAATAGAATATCACATTTTGAAAATAATTTAGAAGTAAATAATAGAGTACATAGTACGCCTATTTCCAGAATAAGAAATAAACTTCAAGAACTTTCAAAGCAGTTTGTGTTTGTACCGGCCGACAAAGCAGCCAACAATGTGGTGGTGGTATGCCGAAAATACTACACGGACGTTCTTAAGAATGAAAGTTTAAATTCATCTACATTTAAGTCCATGCGCCCCACAAAGAGTCATATAGTTAACAAACATATCATAACCACATCACAGCTTAAGGCTTCTTCTGAACATTTGAAGGTCTCTACTATGTATTGGTGACCCAAACTACACAAAAAAACAGTAAAATATCGTTTCAACTCGGCCTCTAGTAAGTGTTCTACAACTAATCTTTCAGTGCTTTTAACAAGTTCCTTAACTACTATCAAAGAGCTTATCATAAACTATTGTAATAAAATATATGAAAATAGTGGAATTTACTATTTTTGGAGTGTAAGAAATTCTTTGGATGTTTTAGATAAATTACAAGCTTTTGATGGTGCTTTTGATTTTGTTGACAACTTTGACTTTTCTACTCTTTACACTACACTTCCACACAATCTTATCAAACAAAAATTTGACTATTTAATTAAATGATCGTTTGGTAAATCTGAATGCAAATATATTTGCTGCAACTCATTTAAAGCCTTCTTCTCTAATGAGAAAGGTAAATATGCTAGATATACTTACTGGAGGTGTGATGAGATGATTGAAGCTGTTATTTGTCTCCTTGATAATATTTATGTACGTTTCGGCAGCAAAGTTTATCGACAGGTTGTAGGTATTCCTATGGGCAATAATTGCGCCCCTTTAATAGCAGACTTGTTTTTGTACTGGTATGAATCATAGTTTATGACCAAACTCAGTAAAGACCCGTCTAAATTGCATTTAATTGATAAATTCAACAATATTTACCGTTATCTTGATGATATTTTTGCGTTAAATAATCAAGAATTTTCTCAATATACTGCCGAAATTTACCCAAAAGAACTTACTTTAAATAAATAAAATTTAAACGGTAACAACTGTCCTTTCCTAGATTTAGATATTTCGGTTTTACACGGGAAACTACACACTAAAATTTACGACAAAAGGGACGATTTTTCGTTCCCTATTGTTAATTTTCCCTTTTTGGATGATGATATTCCTTTGGCACCATCCTACGGTGTTTATATTTCACAACTCGTTCGCTATGACCGTGTCTGTTGTGACGTTTTTGATTTTAACGAACGTAATCTATGTATTACTGGTAAATTATTAAGCCAGGGATTTCGTAAACCTTTACTAAATTCTTCCACAGATATAAAGATTTGGTTTTGAAGTTTGGTTGTACCTGTAGAAAACTTATTTCAAACGGGATTGCACATCCTCAATATTGTTTACCGTGCCCGGAAATTTAGAAACGATCCTGGTAAACTTATCGATCCTTTAAATAAACTCATTCTAAAAGGTTACCAATTCAACACTGTAATTAGATCATTAAATATTGTTTTTATTGGTACTAATATTGATTTTGTTATCAATAAATTAAAGCAAACTAAATATTATTGTTATATACATATACACATTCATAGATCTACAATCTGTCGATACCTGTATCTTGGCATTGCTCAAGGTCATGTTTTTCTCTGATTGTTTATGACGTCTTTATACTAAATCCATTGGATGTTGGATTGATAATTTAGTCTTAATTGCATGTTTTATTTTATTAGTTGTTAGTGGCTTTGAACTAGTTGTCAGTAACTGCGAGTACTCTCAGATCTGTACTTTAGTGTCTTTTTGTGGTTTGGATGTACAAGTACCCGGCCACGTCCACTTGTATTTGTAGCATTTGTATTTTTATCCATCTGATGAGTTAAGCCTCTTTCAACTGATTTTTATAGTTCGTTCTTATATTGTACTGTTACACCACTGTCCCAGGTTAGGGGGAGGGTTGGGATCCCGCTAACATGTTTAACCCCGCCACATTCTGTATGTATGTGCCTGTCCCAAATCAGGAGCCTGTAATTCAGTGATTGGCGTTTGTTTATGTGTAACATATTTGTTTTTCGTTCATTTTTTGTACATATATTAGGCCGTTAGTTTTCTCGTTTGAATTGTTTTACATTGTCATTTCGGGGCCTTTTATAGCTGACTGTGCGGTATGGGCTTTGCTCATTGTTGAAGGCCGTACGGTGACCTATAGTTGTTAATTTCTGTGTCATTTGGTCTCTTGTGGAGAGTTGTCTCATTGGCAATCATACCACATCTTCTTTTTTATATTAACCTTCAGTATCTTATAATTAAGACCATTAAGCGTAATATCAATTCAAGTGTTTATTTCAGGATCCCAAAAGAAATAGAGTAAAACAATTTCTGAATGTTCGCCCAGCGTTTGGTGTATTTGCCGGGTCATTCCAGTTATCTACCTTGACAAATCTGGGAGGCTGGACAATCAGCGTGGAGCAAAAGGTCAGTTGCTTTTATAAGATCTGGCGATTATCAAATCTCAAAAATAAATCAGACTTGTGTATAAAGCACTTTAGATTCAGATATCATTTAGAGGAATCTATATTTTCATGAATAACAGAAATATAAACATGAAAAAAAATTATACATCCATTTCATCAAAGTTGATTTTAAATTTTAACTCAAAAAGTTGATATTTTGAGTAACGTGGATGAATGACAGGGAGGTTATTTTTAAATTATATAAAGTTAGAAAATGCATCGTACACTTACAGGGATCTAAACAGTTTAGAACTAATTAAATTATTGCTTAAAGGGGATAAGTAAGAAAAAACTGCAGAAAGTATGTATGTTTCTGTCATTAGATAGACAAATATATATATACATTTTAAGAGTGTGTTTTTAAACACATTTTTACAAAATTAAAAGGAATGGCAAGCACTAAAAGCGAGGGTATATTCAACTCATAAGTGGATGATAAACTAACAAGGCCTTGGCAAAAAAAGCGTAAAACGACTAAAAGACAAAGAACAGTATATAATCCAAAATGAATCATCAAATCTTATCAATTGTCAAAATAATACCTGACGGCAACTGTAAATGCAAATTATCTCAATTAAGAATCGTCACTCAAAAATTATATCCAGTAAAAATCGTTACTTATAACTTGTGTTGATAAGTAACGCATACTAGCAGAAAGCACGAGTCCAAATGCATGTCAAGAAGTATTTGTCACTTCAAACTAGTGTACAAGTTTAATTGTAATTCCAAACTCCTGCATATGTCTAGTTGTAATAGTCACTATAAACTCATATTCAGTACAAATCGTTATTCAAAATTCATATTCAGTATAGATCGTAATTAAGAACGTCCGTCCAGCAGTAAATGTATTTCGTAACTTTTTTCCACTAGTAATTGTCACACCAAATGTGCGTCAAACAGAAATAACGGAGTAAACATATGTCTAGTAGAAATTAGCACTGTAAACATATGTCCAGTAGAAATTAGCACTGTAAACATATGTACAGTAAAAATTAGCACTGCAAACATATGTACAGTAGAAATTAGCATTGCAAATATATGTCCAGTGGAAATTAGCACTGTAAACATATGTCCAGTAGAAATTAGCACTGAAAACATATGTCCAGTAGAAATAAGCACTGCATGTCTACTAGAAATCGTCATTCCAAACTAGTGTTCCGAAGTAATTGTCATACGAAACTCATGTAAATAAGAAATCATCTATTTATCTTTGGAAGACAAACTGACAACGCCATGGCAAAACACTCAAAATGATCAAAAGTCGAACAAAAGTCTACAAAACATAACAAATAAAGAGGCCATCGCGATGTTTTAATTGTGGAAACCACAATTCCGTTCTCTTTTCCTCGAATGTGACCTACCGATTTAGACTTATCAATGGATTTGTACTGACACGAGCAACACGACGGGTGCCACACGTGGATCATGATCTCCTTACCTTTTGGGACACCTGAGATTATCCCCTGTTTTTGGTTGGGTTCGTTGTGCTCAGTCTTCAGTTTTCTATTTTGTGTTTTGTATACTGTTATTTGTCATTTGCTTTTTTGATTTTTTCCATGGCATTGCTAGTTCGTTTTCGACTTTTGAGTGTGAATATGCCTTGGCATCTTTTATGTAAAATAAATTAATAAATTATCAGAATTATGTCAAGTAGTAATTTGTAGTAATAAGTAATTCTAAACCCAGACTTATAATAACTAGAAACTGTCATTCGAAACTCGTGTCTAGTAGTAATTCTAAACCCAGACTTATAACTACTAGGAACTATCATTCCAAACACATATCTAGTAGTAATTCTGAATCCAGACTTATGACTACTAGAAACTGTCATTCTAAACTCTTGTCTAGTAGTAATTCTAAATCCAGACTTATAAATACTAGAAAATGTCATTCAAAACTCATGTCAAGTAGTATTTTTAAACCCAGATTTATAACTACTAGAAACTGTCATTCGAAACTCAAGTCTAGTAGTAATTCTGAATCCAGACTTATAACTACTAGAAACTGTCATTCGAAACTCATATTTAGTAGTAATTCTAAATCCAGATTTATAACTACTAGAAACTGTCATTCCAAACTCATGTCTAGCAGTAAGTCTAAATCCACACTTATAACAACTAGAAACTGTCATTCGAAACTCATATTTGCTAGTAATTCTAAATCCACACTTATAACTACTAGAAACCGTCATTCTTAACTCATGTTTATAGTAATTCTAAACCCAGACATAGAACTACTAGAAACTGTCATTCGAACCTCATATCTAGTAGTAATTGTAAATCCAGTCTTATGACTACTAGAAACTATCATTCGAACCTCATGTCTAGAAGTAATTGTAAATCCAGACTTATAACTACTGGAAACTGTCATTCGAACCTCATGTCTAGTAGCAATTCTAAACCCATAATTTTAACTACTAGAAACTGTCATTCCGAACTGATGTCAAGTAGTAATTCTAAATCCAGACTTAAATCTATTACAAACTGTCATTCCAAACTCATGGCTAGTAGTAATTCCAAACCCAGACTTTTCATTACTATAAACCGTCATTCGAAAATCATGTCTAGTAGTAATTCTAAGTCCAGCCTTATAACTTCTAGAAACTGTCATTCGAACCTCATGTCTAGTAGCAATTATAAACCCAGACGTCTAACTACTAGAAACTGTCATTCCAAACTTTCGTCTACGCAAGATTCATCAGTATCGCTCGATTCAAGCAGTTGGAAGGATAAACCAATTACAAAGTTAACGCTGAAACGATTATAAAAATTATAAAGGTTATGGATTATCGAGTTGAGGCCATCAATTTATTTCTATAAAAAACTTTTATGTGAGATTTTTTTTTTATCCGAACATTTAGTTTAGAAAAAACGAATAATGGTGCTTCTAATGGAACGATCAAAGTCGAATATTTGACAGCAATGGATGTTTAAGAGCCGAAACAGTTGACAATAGAAAAAAATCCCTTGGCCCCGATCCCCCCTTCCCAACCCCCCAACCCAACCCAGCGTAGGTCCACTTTGCTTCAGTGAGTGAAACCATTAGTTTCTTTATTATTTCAAAATTTATAAAAGAACAATTTTAGAAAGGTTTGTTATAGATCATGTCAATACTGACTAATAAGCTGATGATACCATTAGAGACTAATAGTCAAGCAGCAGAGATATTGACCAAGTGTTGTAAAAAGTGGGAAGTACTTTTCTGAATTTACCTTCATCAGGAAGGCTCAAAATCAAATATTTCAAGGCCAAAAATGCATAAGAACCGAAAAAGTTGAAGAGATATATAACTAAAAAGGATCTACAACAACAAGCAAAATCCATCTAATGTCCACTTTGCCTGAGGGAGCTGAATCCTTAGTTTTTTTAGAATTTCAAAATTTATAAACGAACAATTTCAAAAAGTGTTGTTGTTAATTATGTCAGTACCGGAGTAATGACTACTGACCTCATGATACTGAGCTGATTTAAGCGTGCAACAGATACATTACTTATAAATGCTGCATGGAAACTCAGTAATAGTGTAAATACTGAGCTTATTCTGTACATGTGTTATAGCCACAAGTCGCTATCAAGTAAGATAAACATTTCGCCTAGTGTCAAAATCTAAATATTGGGTATAAGAAAAATAATGCCAAAATATATATATGAAGCAGGTCTCACTTATTTTTTGTCAGTTTTGTAATGCTAGTTGCTTTATTTGTTTTAGAGAGAAAAGATATTTAAAGGTTTTGATGTTGAACGGGTTGGTGAGTATTTGTAGAGTGTTTGTAAGACCTCATTGTCCACTGAAAAACTCGAACAAACAAAAATGTATACCGGGTCAAGCCTATATGGGATTTTCGTCATTGATATGACAAATAATACAATCCATCGTACATATGTCTTTATTAATTTATAATATGATATGTTTATAGAATTTATGTATTTAATTAACCTGACGTTCTCTGTCTCTCTCTTTTGCCTCCTCACCAATGTCCGTAAAGTTCCCTGAATAATGCCATTGTGACAATACATTATTATATCCCACTAATTGTTGCGTCTGTTCACTCGATAGAAATCAGTTATATTTTCCCTATTCATTGGTAGATGGACAAATGGTTTAATAACGATTGTGTTACTTATAAGACATTTGACGATTAAAACGAAATATTCAAATTGATGTCGATTTGTTAAGCCGTCTGTCAGCAGTTATATAAAAACTTCTTTTAAACATGCATTCCAGTTTTAGTTAATACAATTGTAGATACTACTGATTTCTGATGTTTTTATATGTAGTTCTACCTAAATTTGAAGTGAACGTTGCATTGCCTTCATTTGGAGTGACAACAGACAGATTTTTCACAGTTACTATTAATGCACTGTAAGTATGCAGCACGTGCTGAGTATTGATATCTAGATGAGAACAAATATGTAATATCTGTCAAAGATGAAAACAAATATGTAACATCTGTTAAAGATGAGAACAACTATGTAATATCTGTCAAAGATGAGAAAAAATATGGACGATTTCACACTCAATACTCAAAATTCAATATCCCAAGTGAAATACCCGATTCGAATTTTCATATCCAAAATTCAGGAGAAATCTTAAAATAGCAATTTCTTTTTTTTAAATATTTTTTATGCACCCGTCGTAGTAAACGGGGGCATTAAAAATTACCCTTGACAGTCCTTCCGTCCGTCTTTCCGTCCGTCTCAATTTCGTTTCCGCACTCTAACATAAGTTTGACTAATTCAAAAACGCATACACAATGCTAAGAATCAAAACTTAAATAACCCTGTTCGAATTTATGAAGTGAGTCACTTACCGTCCTAGAGCTATGCCCTTTATAACTTGAAAAAATTCAAATTGTTTCGTTTCCGCACTCTTACTGAAGTTTTTCCCATCCAAGGTTTATGAAACTCATTCACAATGCTAAGAACCACAAAATGCTGACAAAGTTCAAATTTGATATGAAAGTCATTTATCGTTCTATAGTTATGACCCTTTTGAACTTTGAAAATTGCAAAGCTTGAGTGGGAGCATTCGTGTTCTCGGATATATTCCTCTCTTATTATAGAAAGAACTAACTGTTTTAATAAATCATCAGATAATAGATGACAAAGACACATTATTGTAGACCTAAGTTATTTTTCACTTGTTTCGTTGATTGATAGGGCTTGATTTTGTCAGTGTTTATGGATTTCCCCTTTTTGAATTTGTCTGCAGTTCGGTAATTTTGTTATATTTTTTTCCAAAAGTACAGAGGTATCGAAAGAAGACAAATAATCTAGTTGCGAAATGACTCGAACGTTCTCTTTAAGATAATTACAACTTTATGCAGACTAGACACGGTTGAAAGCTTGATGCACTCTATAGTCTCCTGTCTTTTTTTGAAACTGTGAAATAATACCAAGATCTAATTTGGTTGTTTGTGTCGTCAGATTGATGAACCATTAAGATGAACTCTAACATCACAATGAAATATGTACTTAGTGTTTGAAGAAACAAGCAACAATATAAAAAGAGAGTATTTCAAGTTTTTAAATACCAAATATGTGAAAACAAAGAAAGATGAAATAAAAATTTATCAATAGACACAAAGGAATACAATTTTTATCATTTGTTATTTTATTTATAATTATTTAATGTATTTTGTTGTTTTCTATCAATTTCATTTTTTTTAATGTAATTTGTTTTCTAGTCGTTATTTAAAGTTTCACCTCCCTCAGGCAAGGTTTACCTTAGATGGATTAGGTTTTTTTATGTCCTTTTTGGTGATACAGCTTTTAAGCTTTTTGGCTTTCCAAATTCGGCTTTGGGAGCTCCTGTTGCAGGCAAATCCAGAAAAGCGCTTCGGACGCATGAAATTTATAATGTGTTGTTTTCATTTTGTATAGCGACATAAATGAAAAGAACGAGATTTGGCTTATACGTTAGAGAATAGCAACAAAGAATCACATACTTGAAAAAGTTATGATAATAAAAACCAATTGGCTAACGTGTATTCACCAATAAACTAGTTTTGGTACCATACTTATTACTCTAAAAGAAATGATAGTTATTGCATGAGCAATTCAACAAATCTCCAACAAATAAAGTCCATTAATTTAAAAAAAAAAACATTCCAATGCAATTAGAATTGTTTTGGCATTCAAATAGACCCGAATATTTCACTTCTATGATTCGAAAAACACCATTTTTATTTTGACATGTTTCTGAGGTGTTTTACTTCGAACTCAGAAAAAAATCCAACATTGGTCGTCAACTAGAAGAAAAATATATATTATATCTTTTTGTCTCAATAATGACATTTGTTTCTAGTTGTTTTTTTTTATAATTATAGGTTTCATAACGAAAGAGTATTAGATATCGCTTGTTATCGCTTGATTTCAACTCTATAAATTTCAAAATAAGAATAAACGAACCTTAGGCAAGATCATCATTATCATCTTAAATATAAAAAGATAATATTTATCTATGTCCATATTCACGAGCTGTTTAGCGTTTTTCTCTTACGGCAAAAAACTTATTTTTGTCTTAGTGAAATATTTTTGTTTTTGCAAATAACTCCTCCTATGGTATTGTGATTATTATGTCAGGTACCCAGACTCCTGCTTATATTAGACGTTTTCAAGGTATTTACACGCTAGAATGGAATCAAATTTCACATTAAAAATATTTTGAGGTGAAATATTTGAAAAAAAGTTTTAACAAAAATACCAAACTCAAAGGTAAATTCAAAAAGAGGAAGTCCATAAAAACTGAAAGTCTCTTATCAAATTGCAAGGTAAAAGCTTAAACACACCAAAACGAATGGAAAATAACTGTCATATTCCTGACTTGGTACAGGCATTTCTTTATGTAGAAAATGGTGGATTAAAACTGGTTTAACAGCTAGTTAAACCTCTCACTTGTATGACAGTCGCTCAAAATTCCATTATACTAACATCAATGTGTGAACAAAACAAACAGACATAATAAGTAAGATAGTGAAAAATACGGGTACAGCAGTCAATATTGTGTTATAATCTTAATCACTATAAAAACAAACAAATATGTCAACAAAGAAAAACTAAATGGAATATATACAAAGCACATAACCAAAAAAAAAAAATGAAAGACAAGAATACAAAAAATTACCATAACACAATAACACAATGGCGGGATGTATAAATACCGGGCGACGACAAAAAGATATTACCAATAATAAACTAAACAGTAAACGTTAATAATTTACAAAGACAAATAAAAGAACACTATAACACGTAATTAAGATGATAAACAAGGGCAGTACCTAGAACCTATACGTCAAGACCATCATTTATTATTTGTGAAGTTGATACGGAATATTTATCATCAAGGTCTTGGTATCTTCCGATGAACTTGTTTAGAAAAAGGACGAGACGTTCATTGACATAACCCTGGTTCATCTTTTTTCTGCTTGGACACTGTTGACGTTTTATGAAGTCTGAGTAGCAGCTGCAAGCTCTTGTATACCGAATGAGTTGGGAAATGTATATCCCATAAAGAGGTGAAGTTGGTATATTGCAACTAAGGTTGGGGAAATTGATTATTTCAAAACTAACCAAAGGAACGAATGGAAAAGTAACTGTCATATTCTTGAATTAGTACAGACATTTTCAGAAGAAATATGAGTGTTTAGTATAACATTGAAAAATTCACAAATCTCAGTTCCTTTTGTGGAAATGTGACTTTGGAAAGTTATTGTTGACGTAACAAATGCCAATGGAAATGTCCCAATTGTATGTCATCAACAGAAAAACATAACAGGCCACAACATAATTTAATATATCATTGACGGTAATTATATGATAAAGCAATCGCGTGTTCATTAACATATTTGAATTTCTAAAGACGTCAAGGATGTTCTAATTATACAATTTAGGATGTGTCAGCACCACATAACAAATTTAATGTTTGGCTATCCATAAAGTCACGATCGTACCTGTTAAAGACTATTCCAGACACATGTGCTGTACGAACAGAAATGATTTCATACATGTATGTTTTACATTTGAGTTTTTTGTCACATTCATTTCATCCTCAGGTCTTGTTAAAATTATCAAATCAATTGCCAAAACTTCTCCTAAACTGTATAAAATAACACGAAATATAGCAGTAACTCTGACTCATATCAATGATCTTCAGGTACACTTTTGGGAAGCCAGTACAAGGTGATGCAGTATTGACTATTAAACGACAATGGAATACTGAAGATCAGATTGTAAAGAAATTAAAGGTATATCTGAAAAAATTATGATAGTATCATGTAATTTTTTTTACTTCCAGACATTATATTGTTATATATATGTTTCTACGTATTGTAAGGAAAATTTATGTTGGGTCATCATTATGTTCCTTAAAGCATTTCGTGACCTATTCCCGAATATGACTGTTTTGCTGAGTGTAAATTTGCATTGCTATTAGACGTGTCTCGGTATTTGTACATCCAACATTCATGTATTTAGTTATGATGTTCCATTTGTAATTCTGGTTAGATGTTGTTTTATGTCTTATCGTTTGTGGTTTTAATTCTATTTTTATTTTCTATATGTATGTAAAAGTAAAGATATTAATCACCTAGTTCATCTTTATGATTTTTAGTTTAAAGTAACAATATGCACAGGATTTATTTGTTTTAACACAGTTTGATTTAGAAGAAAAACCGACATGGTTATAAAATACAAATAATTACACCATTACTAACACAATTCTATATTAATATTCTTGTAATGGTTAAAAATACATCAACAAACACCATTAAAAACTTAATCCCAATTTCATATCGTACTTTTAGAAATTTAACTGTGACGTCACTTTTTGTTGCGTTGATATATTTGTGTGACGCACAGTTCATTATTCTATTGTGCTGTATTTGTGTTCTGTCGCAAATTAATTTTAGGTGTTCGTTGTTATTCTGTGGTTTACATGTTGAAATGGACTATTATACTATTTATTTATGTATTTCTCTGTCTTGAATATTCTTGCATTTATTTGTAGTGTATTCCTGTCACGTAATGTTGTCATTTTAGCGGTATTTTTAACATTGCCATATAAGCGTGAGATTTGGCTAGCCACAAAACCAGGTTCAACCCACCATTTTTTCTTAAAATGTCCTGTACCAAGTCAGAAATATGGCAGTTGTTATCACATAGTCCGTTTCTATGTATGTTGGCGTTTGTTTTTGTAGCAGTTCAGTGTTTCCTCTTGTAGTTGATGTGTTTCCCTCAGTTTTGGTTTGTGACCCGATTTGTTTCAGTTAAATCGATTTATGACTATTGAACAGAGGTATACTACTATTGCCTTTTTTGTGCACAATTTTATATGCAGTAAAGTTCAAACATGAAAGCTGTTTTGGAAGTTGCAAATATAGTCTATACAAAATGATACAAAAGTTTATAGCAAACATTTTGTCAAAATGTTTATCAAAAGAACTAATACCATTGGCTACTGCATAGTAAATACAATTAAATCACTTGATAGGTGGTATGATTCTTGATATAAAGATGGCATACAACTTATGTCAAAATATTGCCAACTATATATGCATAGTTTGTAGATTACATATATTTATCAGATTAAACATATAGTTTTTTTTAAAGCTAGAAGTGGCACGAGTGTAAATAAAAACATTTATTAAAATTATTGTTTGCATCAACAAAGTGGCTTTGCTCATTTGAAAAGTGTGCTTAAGATAATTTTGTCACGTTTTCTCTATTCAATGACATAATCCTCGACAGTATCCTTTCATATAAAAATAAGAAGATGTGGTATGATTGCGAATGAGACAACTATCAACCAAAGTTGTTTGTATGTAATGATAAAAAGTATTAGTTGACTCTCTCTCACAAGCAAAATACTCATAACGGTAAAATATAAAAGCATACACTACAAGCAAGGGGACACATTATACTTATCCACACAGCACCAGCAACAAACCCTGCACTCAATATAAAAAAAACTAATATCTTTAAATGGTTAAGTTTTAAAATTACCATTAGTTTGAACGGTGCACTTAACAAAACTTACATTGATGATGTTACTTATACCACAAAGTCTGATTTCTACTTCAGTAATACTGCACCAATAAAAAAGAATATAGTCCCGGGCGAAATATCGTAAAGCACCTGTTGCAATTACCGTTTGTGCTACAAGTAAAAGGTTTACCTAGCTATAAAACATGGTTTAATCCAGCATTTTCTACATAAGGAAATGCCTGTACCAAGTCAGGAATATGGCAGTTATTTTCCATTCGTTTGATGTGTTTGAGCTTTTGATTTTGCCATTTGATAAGGGACTTTCCGTTTTGAATTTTCCTTATTTTTGTTGTTATACTTTTTAAAATATAGCACCAAATATTTATGATATTTGATACGATACGTAAACAATATAATTTGATTTAATAACAAGCATAGCTGATTTGCATAATTTTCATATTGCTTTGCAGCGATTTTAGAAAAAAAGTTTTTTACCATATCATACCTTTCAGTCTTTAGGATACCCATCCTATATTGATGCTAATGGACAACATTTCGTTTTTCAGAAGCTGATCCATCATAAACATTTTCATGTTGACTTTATTTATGTACTATATAATACAGATAAATGGAAAAGCCACAGTTCGAGTTTTAATGAGTGAAATTGTACCAAAAGTGGGAACTTACATAGAGGTCATAGCTAATGTAACAGAAGCAATTACAGGCATCTCAGCAAATGATACGAGAAATGTTATAATTTATTACACACCAGAAAAACTAACGTTTTCCTCCAGTATGTCAAGCGTATTCAAACCTGGATTGGACTATACAATAATAGTGAGTACATGATTAACGGTCACCATCCAAAATTCATTGACCGATACGATTTGTCGGTGTCTCAACTCACAAATTGCATGTTTTCGCGGTCTAATATCATTAGATACTAGTAAGTTGACTGGTATGTTACGTTTTGGTCTCCGTTTCTATAACCTATATTTCAGTCAGTACTTGCATCTCACATATCCCAGTGAACATGAAATTAAGGATACTACTGATACTAGAAGGACTGCTTTATACCTTGATCTTTTCCTTGATAATGACACAGATGGACACTAAATTCTATGACAAACGGAATGATTTCAACTTCCCAATTATCAATTTCCCATTTCTCAGCAGTAACATAACCTCTGCTCCGTCGTTTGGTGTTTACATATCCCAATTGATACGTTATGCTCGTGCATGTTCACACTATACGGACTTCATATACAGGGGTATGCTCCTTACGCAGAAACTGCTCCAACAGAGTTATGAGGAGTAAAGACTAAAAATGACACTCCGTAAATTTTATGGACACCATCATGAATTGGTTGATCTATACGATGTGTCTGTGTCTAAACTATCAAACGACATTTTTACCACGTCTTAGCTTGTGGTTTACCATCTATGTCGTCTGTCTGCTAAGTACTGAACGTGACCTATTCCCGAATATGACTGTTTTGCCGAGTGTGAATTCGCATTGCTATACGACGTGTCTTGGTATTTATACATCCAACATTCATGTATTTAGTTATGATGTGTCTTTTGTAAATTCGGTTGGATATTGTGTTATGTCTTATCGTTTGTGGTTTGAATTCTGTATTTTTGGTACATCTCACATATGTCTTATTTGTCAGTATAGTCGAGTTATATTTGAATTAGTATTGTGAAAATAATTGTGAATTTTAGGATCTCGTTCCATATAATTATATGAATTTCAAGATTATATATACTTCACTGTTTGTGGTGTCCTGTGCTGTCGTTAATGTGAGATGTCCGTTGTTATTCTGCGGTTTACATGTTGTAATTTACTATTATATTATTTATTGATGCATTTCTCTTTGCTTAGTGTTCTTGTGTTCTTAACATTCCCATATAAGCCGAAGGTTTTGGCTAGCCATAAACCCTGGTTCAACCCACCATTTTTTCTTAAAATGTCCTGTACCAAGTCAGGAAAATCGCAGTTGTTATCTAATCGTCCGTTTCTATGTATGTTTTGCCTTTGTTTTTTGTTGCAGTTCAGTGTTTCTGTTGTTCCGTTGTTTTCCTCTTATAGTTAATGTGTTTCCCTCGGTTTCAGTTTGTAACGCTGATTTGTTTTCTCTTAATCGATTTATGACTTTTTAACAGCGGTATACTACTGTTGCCTTTATTTATCATGTCGAAGCACCCAGTCGCGCTCCGTTTAGAGTTGAAGCGATTCCCAATGGTTTGTTTTCGACCTTGACTTGTCTGTTCCTACTCGAGTTACAAGATTTTAACTACTGTCGTCAAAATTTAGAAAAATTTAGCAACAGTATTTACATGCTTTACCACATGTCACTATTAACGGTTCACATAATGTTCATCTAACATACAATAATGACCAGGCGACATATAGAATTGTAGTACATACCATTTTAAGAAACGGTTAAAGAAAGGCCGGAAAGCAAAATACTTTAGAAAATACCGTTGTCTTAGGGAATTGGAATATTTAAAATATAATCAAGCAAACGTATTATTTGGAAAAGACTTTAAAAAGTAATAAATCATGCTTAGCAGTATTGGAAGAACTAATAAGCACATCCAATAACAAGTGCATTACAGAACAGTTGAATTAGTAAAAGTAGATCTCTTGATAATATAGACACTCGAAATATAATAACAAATCAATTCAAGAACCTTTAACAGTTGGATTAGTAAAAAGTAGTTCGACCTATTGATAATATAGGCCCTCGAAAACCGTTGACTTCAATATCTCGACTATGTTTTTCCAATTTGCCGCCGCATTGACATATAACTGCATGTGCTTCCTTGCCTATGAAGTAATTTGTTAAAAACCCAAACGTTTTATAACGCAAATAATATGAACGAAACGATAAAAACAAAAGAAGATATGTAAGGAATAATACACACCTCAAATTTACTAAGGGTTTGTATTTACATGAGCAAAACGATAGATGACACATGTTCAGCAGGATCTGCTATCCCTTCCGAAACAACTAAGATAACCTCTTGTTTTTGGTCAGGTTCGTGTTGAGTTTTCTGTGTTGTGTTTTGTAGACTGTTGTTTGTCTTTTGGTTTTTCTTTTTTTATTATGTCCATTTGTTTTCGACTTTTGAGTTTGACTATCCCTTTGGTATCGTCAGTATCACTTTTTTTTGAACTTTGATTGACAGAGATTGAGCTGATGTGTTATAATAAAATCTAGTAATGTAAGTAATAACCATTAAAATATTAACGGCATAAAAAATAAAATGAGATATGCAAATTTGTTTCAGCTTTTTTGTTACCAATATACATTTGCACAGTAGTCTTTTCATTTAAAATTTGGCAGTTTTCTAAAAGGATTGCCACGAAGGCTTGGTGATACAAGGAATACATTTAAAAAAAAAATTCACGCAATTCATTAATATTTGATAATATAAATTGACTTGTAACTGGCCTATAGATATTTACATCTACACAATTTGGTCACTGGTGGAGAGTTGTCAAATTGACAATCATTCCGTATATCCTTACTTGTCGTTGTTATTTGAGGGATTAGTCAAATCCAATTCAAGGGTTTTTTTTATTGTAAGGTATAAGCATTTTATATACATTTTTGTCTATCAATGGTACATTTTAGTTGAGAGCTACACAGCAAGATGATAGTCCCTTAAACCCACCATTGGGCTTTGTAAACATTACGGTAAGGTATACTGTGCCTGGTGAAAAGAAACCACAAAATGGGAGACCAAGCGGTGATCAGATTATGCCTATTCGTCCATTTCCACAACCATTCAACCATTGGACACGTTTGGAACAGATCCCTGAATCAGGAATAATTGTGCTCTCAGCTAGATTCCCTAAAGCAGCACAGTCTGGTACAATACAGGTATCGATAAAAATATATAAATGAACGAAAATATTATTTGATTAAATAATCACCAACATACTTAGTCTAGTTATAGAGTTACGCAGAACCACGTGTCTCACCTGCTATTACTGCTGTCAGTGTAAAATTGTAATGTTGACTGTAAAAAAGTAATCCATTTATCAGTATAATACAGAGTTTAAAAAACAATCAAACTTTTTCTTTGGATGCTATCTATTGATTTTGAGGATTAGCTTCGGTCGAAGAAGTAAAATACTATAACTTAAATAAATATATTTTCAAAAGTTTGTAACTTTGAAAAAACTGAGTCTATATATCAATAAAACAAGGAGAAACAAAAAAAAAAAAAAAAAAATATTTTCAAAATTTTGCTTTCAGACAGTATCTCTTTATCATAAACGAGCAACTGCCAAAATGTCATAAAATGCTATGAAATTTTTTTAATTTTTTTTATTTCCATTCTTGCCCTTTATAGCTTGCTGTTCGGTGTGAGCCAATGCTCCGTGTTGAAGGCCGTACCTTGACCTTTAATGGTTTACTTTTATAAATTGTTACTTGGATGGGGAGTTGTCTCATTGGCACTCATACCACATCTTCCTATATCTATTGATAAATTACTGATTTATGACCAATATTAATATTATTATTAAGCCACAGTGGATTTGATAAAAATGAATCATAAGTGAAGTTTCTCTCTTTTTGAATAATCATTTCCCAGGATCTTAGTACATCTTTCCAAAAATAGTTGTTTACTGTCATATAAAGTTGTCTAATGTAATCAACACCACAACTAACAAACTTTTTCTGATCTATATTTGACATGAAAATATTTTGCCATTTATTATCTCTCTGCAAAATCCTTCTAATCCATGTTGATTTAAGTGCTATAATAAACATATTCAAATCAAGCATTTTCAAACCTCCCTCCAAATAATCTTTGATTAAGATATCCTTCTTAACTCTATGTATAAGTGAGTTCCATATGTATTTATAAATAAGTTCATTTATTCTCTTAACAATATCATCTGAAGGGTTTGGCAGAGAGATAATGAGATGGTTTACAATGGGCAAGACTAGAGTTTTGATCACAGTTATTCTACCTATTACAGTTAAATTCCTTTTAGACCATTGATTTAAAGTATTTTTGATCTGTACAATTCTTTCAGAATAATTTATCTTAACAATTTTCTCAAGATCTACATCAAAATTGATACCTAGTAATGTAAAAGGAGTTTCACCCCAAGACAGATTTCTGTCAGGACATAATGTATCTGTATTATATATTTTGCTCCCAAACCAAATAACTAGTGTTTTTGTGAAGATAATATTCTGTCCAGATATTTTTGCAAACCAGTCTAATTCTAATAGTGATTCCTGCAGGAATTTTTAACTCCCATCCAAAATCAAAGAAGTGTCATAAGCAAATTGTGACAATTTATGTTCAACCCGTGTGACCTTTATACCACTAATGTCACTATTTCCCCATATTTTCAATACCAGAATCTCAACACATAAAATAAAAAGATATGGAGACAGCGTATCCCCTTGTCTACAACCTCTTCCAATCGTGAAAAAATCTGAAAGGTCCCCCCCCCCCCCCCCCCCCCCTGGATGACAGCTGAATTGATATTATTATAAAAAACTTTAACTCAATTAATGATGGATTCGCCAAAATTGAAAAATTTCAAAACATTCATCAAAAAATCCCATGATATGGAATCGAAAGCTTTTTCAAAATCAATCAATAGTACAAGCCCTCGTATTTCATGTTCTTCTGTGTATTGTAATATATCAAAAATGAGTCGTATATATTCCCCAATATACCTACCACTAATAAAACCAGTCTGATCAAAATAGATTAATTTATCGAGGACAATCTTAAATCTGTTTGCTATAGCTGCTGATCCAATTTTATACAAAGTATTCAATAAAGATATTGGGCGCCAGTTTTTTATAAAGTGGCTGGGTTTATTCCCTTTCGGTAGACAAGTAATAATCCCTTGTTTTTGTGTAACAGATAGTTCTCCTGTTTTTGCACCATAATTTAAAGAATTTACAATAGAAATTTGAAGATCCTTCCAAAACATTTTATAGAACTCTGCTAAAAAACCATCAGTTCCAGGAGTTTTGTTGTTTTTCATTTTTTTCAATGCTTCTCCAGCTTCTTTAACAGTAATTATACCCACCAAGCGTTCTTTTTCCTGAGATGAAAGTATAGGAACACTTAAATTTTTCAAGGTTTTTTCAGATCGCTTAAGGTTGCAATTCTGTAAACATAGACAATGCAATTTATCATAGGAACTCCCTTTGCGGCTGAAACTGTGACACTTTTACTATGAAGTTTCGTGAAAAATGATATCCCAGAACGGAAAGTTTATATGCACTACTATTTTATTCAAAGGTCAAAATATAGGGCTGTGCGGCATATTTTCAACATTTATATGCCCTGAACTTCTAAGAGTTTAAACTTGTACTAAAATTCTATACTACCCTTACCTCCATATTTGGACCTCCTAAGAATTAAAATTTAGGCGCTACCATGTTTTTCTATACTGGTTACATTTCCAAGTAATGTAACTATGAGATGAAACACAGAGATCATAAATGGGAACCAGTACGTTAACAAATTAACATATCTATGAATATTATATATCTCCCCAAAAGAGGCGTGGTTTGAGAAATAGCTGTATTTACAAAGTGCAACCTATACAAACATTTATTCAAAAATAAAACTCTCTAAAAACACCTTTTCTCACAACAATACTTATTTATCAGAATTATAGCCTTAAAGAAATCACTGCATATACTCTAAGTTTCCTTTTACAGTACATTTGTTACCCCTATCCCTGTTTCAATTTTTTAAAGAATTTGAAAACAAGACTTTAATTATTGCCAGCTTACCCTATGTGCATGTTTTCTGACATGAACTGTCTAAAACCTGTTTGAAACTATTCTGATAACAAATTGAAAGCATTGTGTTATACTATAAGTGTATTGTTTAGTAGTTAATCATTCCAACTTTCAAGATTATACAAAGTATCCAATCCTGCCTGTGTCTCCAGTCCACATCTTACTAAATGCCTATTTGTCAATGAAAGTTCATAATTTCTGTCTCAAATGGTCAGTTAAGAGTTCTTGTCTCAACAGTATCATCCCTAACCATATATCTAACATAAGTTAGTTAATATATGAACTAGAAGTGTCTAAACAAAGCCATATTTGCAAAAGTTGTATTTAAGAATATATCAGTCTGGTGCCTAAATTCACTAAAAGTTTGATAGAAATGACTGCTTACATCTTATTTTTGCATAACTTCCCAGCACAGTTATTGTTTTCTTTACAAAAGACCTTGAAAATAATAAAATCATAGCATTTACAAGTTAAATTATCTGTTTTATGACCCAGGGGTAGGCATTTGTTTCTGTTTTTTGTCCCTAGGGCCTCACATTTCCTAAATATTTTCCCTGTTTCTAGCAATGTGGAATATTTAGTATATATTTAGGATAGAACACACTATTGTAAGTTTTATTGCGGTCTTTTTGTAATTCTAGCTTGTACTTTTTAATGCCCCGGTCACAAAAAAGCACATTTAGGTGTTACGGCTTACTTTTGGGTTATCGACAGGACAAAAGCACCCGAACAAAAATATTTAGGAAGGATCAATGAGTTGCAATGACTGCGAAGAGTAAATATAAGCACTTTTAAACAATTTAAATTACAAATAGGCATATATTATGAATTTATTTTGAATTCAGGGCTTTAAGTAAACCATGCATAAAGTACACTGTGAATTTATGCTGAGTCATCATATTTAAGGCTCAGGATTTTCTCAATCTTCATGAAATATTTATAAAACTTCATATTTCAGTTAAATTCTTTAAAATCTCTGAGATAAACCAAATTTTGTGAAAATCTGTATGTTCTATTTTTTAACCCTATATAGGTTGCAATTCTGTAAACATAGACGATGCAATTTTCCATAGGAACTCCCTTTGCGGCTGAAACTGTGACACTTTTACTATGAAGTTTCGTGAAAAATGATATCCCAGAACGGAAAGTTTATATGCACTACTATTTTATTCAAAGGTCAAAATATAGGGCTGTGCGGCATGTTTTCAACATTTATATACCCTGAACTTCTAAGAGTTTAAACTTGTACTAAAATTCTATACTACCCTTACCTCCATATTTGGACCTCCTAAGAATTAAAATTTAGGCGCTACCATGTTTTTCTATACTGGTTACATTCCCAAGTGATGTTACTATGAGATGAAACACTGAGATCATAAATGGGAACCAGTACGTTAACAAATTAACATATCTATGAATATTATATATCTCCCCAAAAGAGGCAAGGTTTGAGAAATAGCTGTATTTACAAAGTGCAACCTTAAAGTATTTTTGGTATCCCTTTTATTTAACTTCATTTAAAATATCTTTCTGTTTTGTTATAATTTCCCCATTTTCTTTCTCTACTTTAAGAATAATTTACTTATAAAATTTCGTGATTCTAAGCCACAGAAATAAATTAGTAGGTTTTTCCCCTTCCTGTATCCATTGGACACGTGATCTTACTAATTCCCCTTGTACTTTTTGTAATTGTAAACTTTCAAGCTCATGTTTTTTGCTTCTAATTCGTTTATTGAATGTTCATCAACTCTATCCTCTAATTGAGTTACTTCATTTCGGAGATTTATCTCCCTTTTTTGTCTTGCTTTTTTTATAACTTGAATATGAAATTGTTTTTCCCCTAATTTTCATCAGAAGAGTCTCAAGCAAAAGTTGACAGTAAATTCTAAAATGAATGTCTGTACTATCTATTTTGTCAATATTTTCCAAATTATAAACTAAAGCACAATATTGTTTTTTCACTTCCTGCATTTTTTGTTTAATGGTATTTATATAGTCTATATCATATAACAAAGAGTTGTTAAACTTCCACAAACCTTTTCCCCTAATGAAAGGGTTAAATTCTAAATCAAGCAAAATCATAGAGTGATCTGATCGATAGCTTGGAAGTACATTACAATTTTTGAGACTGTTTAGGACGTTTTCAGTGAGAAGAAAAAAGTATAATCTAGCCTGTTTAAAAGGATTTCTCTTCCTCAAAGTGTATCGCTGTACATCTGGAAGAAGTTCTCGATACGGGTCTATCAGATTTCTTTCTTCAGTAAATTCAAGAACCTTTTCCCTAGCTTTTAAATTGTTCATATTCACATAGTTGCAATAATCTATCCATGGGTTTTGGACAAGATTAAAATCGCCACAAATAACATAGTATTCATTTTCAAAATCATCAATAACAGACATAATTTTGGAGAAAAAAAAATGGATTATCTGTATATGGTCCGTATAGACATACAAGAGTTATCTTTCCATTTTCTACGAGAATATCTAAGATTAAATAGTTTCCATTTATATCGGTTTTTTTTTCTTTTAACACTTTGCATTCAAAATTATTATTAAACAAAATAGCTACACCCCTAGAGTTTGAACTAACAGATGAAAAGTTACAGTCATAACCCCATATAGATCTCACAATGTTTTCTATATCATCTGTAAAATGAGTATCCTGCATACAATATATATTATTGTTCTTTGACTTCAGCATATCAAATACATCTTTTCTCTTTAATGTGTTCCGAAGGCCTTGACAGTATACAGAAAAAATCTTTAATGAACTTATTGATCATAAAATGTCTGCATCCAAATTACCTCAAGTAGTTGAATGAAAGAAGTAAAAATAATTTTCAAATAATGATGTTAACACAGAAAAGTAATTAGAATGGGGATGTCAAACAGGATAATTTTCAAAAGATTGTTTAAAAATAAATGGAAAAAAATAGAACAATAGATTAGAAAAAGTTTAAAAAAATATTCAATTGATTGAATATGACAATTGTGATAAAGCATTTTCATAATTATGAACAACGCATCACACTTTTTCAGTTTATACAGAATAATATCTGTACATTAACATTTGCCATAAGTGTCTCTTATATTTGTTAAGTGTGAGTAGTATATATATACATGTTCAATTATAAGAATAATAGAAACTAGTGACTCAAGGGAGATAACAAAAATACAAGTTGAATCACCTTAAAAATTATAAATGTTAGTATGTCAAGATCATCCTTTTTAGTTATCCCCTGAAGGTTTGTTTTAATTTCATCAAGGTCCTTTTGTAGACTATTTAATCCACTAGTGTCCATACTATTGTCTGACTCACTAGACAACTCTGAATGAGTTCTCTTTGGTAATTTAGCTTGTGTTCTGGCTTTTGTTTTATCTAAATTCCTTCTGGCTGACGGTAGTGTTTGGACAGTATTAGTGTTAGTAGATTTCTTTTCTGTGGTATTTTGTCCAGTTTTATTACTTGGTAAAGAATTGCCTCCAGGCATAATGTAGTTAGTCAGTATAACTGCTCACAACAGAAAATCAATAATTCAATTCTAAAAATCCAAATGGAAATTCTTTAGGTAAGTAATTCCTCATCATCAAATTTCTTCAAAACATATATATTTAGAATCCAAATTCACTTCTCCATCTTTTGGTATTGGTTTTAACTGCTGGCACTTTGCAAAAATAACTTAATTCTGCAAGACTGTATCTACTTATTAACAGTTAAAATAAATTCAGTCCATTTATCAGTAAAATACAAGAAAATTGAAATAAATATTTTCAAATCTATGTTCTGAATATTGTCTTTGGGTCATAACCATTCATTGACCTTAAGTATGAAGAATTTTTTTTTCATAATTTAAGTTGGAATATTAGGTGTTCATGTACTACTATACATGTAACACTATTTTCATTTTTAACTACAGGCTTTTTACCGCAAATTGAGAGTAACCAGATTTTTGTCCGAAGCAGAATCCCCAAGCAGAAACTACATACAAGTGGAAGTTAAAAATAACAGAAAAGCTCAGGTACAGTTAAAAAAGAGCAAGCATTATCTATAGCCAACTCAGCCCTGAATATTCAAATGAACCTTGAAAACACAATTCAGAACAAATATTCTTATATAGTCAATATACACTTACGCTAACGGTTTTTTTGTTAAGAATTCAAAAGAAAATATTCCTTTGCGTCTAACAGTAAGACATCATATCAGGCTTGCAATTTGTCAAAGTATACAAAACTAATCATTACATTAGAGTATCAGATACATAGATAAAAGCATTCCAAAGTACACTTTAAGAAATAACTTTCGCTATTTATTTTGATATTGAAGAAACCTAATTATCAGAAAAAAATCCTCATTATTTTTTCAAAGTAAGTGGATCTGAATATTGCACGGATATGTATGGCATATAATATTAACTTAAAATGTAGGACAATGACCATCTATATCGTATGCAAATTATAACTCTTCTTCTTGATTTTTTATAAAAATCCTTTTCGAAATATACGGCAATGTCTTTCGAATGAAGGATCGTCCTATTGAAAGAGGTTATAAATTACAATTGGAAAGAAGTCCATTTATCTTCAAACAAACAGATCATTGTTAAATAGGCAATGGAAAAAAATGTTCTCTCTGTATCAATCACTTTGCTTTTATTTGTGAAAACAAATATTTGTTTTTTATTTATGTTTAGCCTGGTCAGAAATTAGCATTGGTTATAAAAGTTACAGAAATGATACGCTTCTGCAATTACAAAGTATGTTATTATTTTTGTCAGTTGGCGAACGCTTAAAAGTAATAATCGGAAATAAAATGGAAAGATGGGCATGCGTCAACTATTCAAGTTCTGTCAATTACTAATTAGTTTTTAGATGTTTTGTAAGGGGGTATATTTGTGTTTATCCTTCAATTTGTAACAATACAAAAGAGTTAAAACATACATAATTTTATGTCGGACCAATAGAAATACTAACAAACTTCATTCGCATATAACAGGTAATTTCTACACCTCCGTAAAATCCGCGAAACTATTACATAGAAGTCTCTTTTAAATGTTTACTACAAGAGGTCGGCATTTTACCTAAATAAAAAAAGGGCAATCTTATGTCATTTAAACTATCTTAAAATGAATGTTACGAGGTTTCAATTTAACACCAGGGGATCCTCTAAGAAGATGAAACTATAAATATAATCATTTTCCGAAGAAGAGAGACCGAAGTATTCGTACATGCCCTAAAAAACAATTCACTTTCGGGGTTATTGTTACACGTTTAATTCCAGAGAACATTCTCCTGGTTGCCAGTAGCAATTAAAATTACAGCAATACTCAACTTTCGTTTGTGCGTGCGTTTTTTTTATAGAATGTTAATTTTCGTTTATTTTTCATGACATCTGATATCGAAATCTTTTATGCAAATTTAAAAATTCCCGTATCATTCATAGGTTTTTTCAAAAGGATCACTTATAACTCAAGGGCAATTTAGGATGAGAAATAGAAAACAGCATGACCAGAATCTAAGTATCACATATGCGATGATTCCTCAAGCAAAGTTACTGATTTACTATGTTAGACAACAAAACGGTGAAGTTGTAGCTGATGCAATTACATTTCCTATTGAGGACATATTTAATAATAAAGTGAGTATTATTGTAGAGTTGTATATCATTTATTGCATTCAGTGCTTTCAAAAATGATTACAAATGTATAATGTAGTTAAAAAAAGCAAAATTCAAATTCACTGCAGAATCTTATATTTTATAAAATAAATTAAGTCCTACGATTGTTATCGTGATTTATAAGGGTGAATTTAAATTTGTCCTGTCAAAAGTCAGTAGTATTGATTTATGGCTCGTCTTTTTAATTCTCCCAGAAGGAAGTTGCTTCGATACAAAATTTCAAAAAGATACATTCCCGTGTCGTTTCAGTGTCAATATTAATGTACACAAAGTTTGTCGACGAAATTCAGTTCAATTTCTATCATACCAATATCATATTAAAAAAAATATAGTAGAAGCTTAACATCATTAATTACACCCTAGTCATCGTCAAGTTAGATCAATACTGATTAATACATGTAATTTGTTTTGTTTGTATTGTTGCTGACTCTAACCAACTGAGGCTAATTTTAAATCAAATAGAGTAAAACACTATGTCGTTAAAGGAAACCTTTGAAATGCATTCAGTGTCACTTTGAAAAGAAACGTCTGTATTCCCATGTCTAATGTGAAAGGTTGCATTAGAAAGTTAATACATAACGTCAGTTGCCTTACAAGCATAAAACTGCCAAATGTTTCTGTTATAAATTCTTGTTTTGTAAAAGGCACTTTAGTATACATGAACAAAATTAAAGAAAACTGTACGTGGAATCTATATTATACGTTTAATGTTAAATAAGCAGTATGTGATTGAAAAAAGAAGAAAAAAAAAAGAAATAAAAGGTCCAAGAATCTAGCTGACTTGGATACCAATTGTTCCTATCCTACGTCGATTGAAAGGGAAATCTAAGTTGTCTTTACATTGTGGAATGACCTTTTTCTTCATAAAGACGTTGAGGAGAAACATTAGTGTCAAAATGTTGGCCTCGATAGCCAGTTTTCAGACACAGTTTGAAAAACAACTAAATGATTTATGGATTCAGCTGATATATTGTGAGACCATCTTATACACCGTTGTGTAGTTTGCATACTTTCAGGTCCGTGTATTTTGAAATATTTACATATAAGTCAAGGTTATAAACAAATTTACTGATGCTGGATTGCCGCAGTGTTAAAGAATGTATACGCCTTCTTAAGACAAATGGTTCCATCAACTTTTTATTTATTTTAAGTTTTGTTTCAAGTTTGGAATATACCAGTTCAATATATTTTTATCTTTACTAATGCATTGTTCCTCTGAATATAAATTACCGGACTGGCAAATGTGATAATAAAATTAAGTACGACAATGTTTGGAACTCCTTGATTTTCTTGGGTTTGACGAAGTGGCAATATGTTACGTAGTTAAGTGAATTTTGGACAGGAGTATAAGCAAACTGACAAATTAGGTAGTTGCCTGTTTGTGTTACCAACTCCAATACCGTTTAGTAAGATATTAAAGACCCCTGTATGACAAAGATAAAGAGAAAACAGTATGTAATTGAATAACAAACGATCAAAAACGATCATTATCACCACTGGATGAAAGGCTTATAGCTTGTGAAAGGAATAATAACAGTATGACGGGATTAAATATGTTGGCAAAAATCTATTTTCGGCAACATTTTCAGTGAAGGTACTATTTTTGAGTTACTGATTTCTCTTGCAGAGTCGTCAAATTATCTCGAAAATTTGAATATCCATGGTGGGCAGCATCTCATTTTCATGATATATTTTGAGATTTTTTATTTTGCATTCTCTGAATATCCATGGTAGACAGCATCTCATTTTCATTATATATTTTGAAATTTTTTTTCGCATTCTCTTCTGGTCGTGGCCTTTCAAATGTTTCGACCATGAGAGATATGTCCCATACCAAATCGAACTGAGCGTGATAAGTACGAGTTACGATGCATATGTTAATTTGTTTGTCCTATCTTATAATGTGGTAGGGAATTGCTCTATTTTCATTAGTCATTAGCTAGGTCAATGTTAACTAGCACAAGTCACGATAGTTAACTCACAATACTAGTTATAGACAATATAATACCGTATCACAGAATGATGGCGGAAACAGTTGATATGAAATATAAATATGCTGTTTCACATACTTATATTTAAAAAAAATTTTGTGCAGGATTCTCTGACACATGAATTTATGATATCTCTACTTCTGCTGAAGTAAAATGAATACTAAGTAATAACATTAGAGAAATAGATGCTTTCATTTAGGAAAGCAAAATTAACAGAAGGAAAGGAAAAATACGCCCTGTCATCCATCTTTTTGTGTTGCACATATAAATAGACCAATGTTGATGGAGAACACCTTTTCTCACTTCATTTACTCGAAGGATAAATGTGATTATTATCATTGCGTTCATATTGTCAGTATGTTTGTATAACTGGGATATTTTTTCATAATTTAAAAAGTGATATCTTGTATAATGCTAAATTTCATAAACTAATATTTGGGTAGGTGTCTATTAACTTTAACAAAAGACGAGCTAAGCCAGGTGATGATGTTGAAGTTGAATTGACGGCGGATCCAAACTCATTAGTCAATGTTCTAGCAGTCGATAAAAGTGTCCTATTACTGAAATCAGGAAATGATATAACTACACAAAATGTAAGTTCATTCACTTTCTCTCTCTCTTATTCTTAATTTTCTACAGACACAACCATAAAGATTCAAAAAGGTAGACGAACTTTTATGATAAAGATTTTCAGTCTGACGTTGATAGGCACAAATAGGACCGAATAGAACCAGGTATGACAACTGGATTTTGTTCTCTTCGTTTCAATTGTTATCATGTTTGCCTTTAATTTGTGACAGTTTATCTGTAAATGATCGGTTGTAAAAATTCAGGACCATAACATAAGTGTCTCAGTTAAAAAAATCATTTTTTTTTCTTTACTCTATTTATAAATGAAAAACATTGTACTGCATTGATATAGCTACATTAAAGATATAATTAAATTCAACACCTTAACCTAACGTATAAAATATCAAAACAGATACGGCTGATGTTTGTACGAAATAATATTTAGAATGGAAACGGGAAAGGGCAGAAAACAGCATAAGGCCGGCCACCAATGGGTCAATGAAAATCCCACACCCAGAGGTGGGATTTAGCCGGCCCCTAAACAATAATGTATACTAGTTCAGCAAAAATGGACGCCAAATTAAACTACGAAACATATAAATGAACCAAAATTATTTTACTTTTTATTCTCATGTCAATTTTGACAATTCTTATTTCCAACTTGACGTAGAGGCTAGCAACTATAGGTCATCGTGCGACTCACAACCATGGTCAACATACATATCGCAAAGCAAGCTATAAAAGGCCCCTATATAACAGATTTTAGGTAAAACTCAAAGTTAACTTTCTCAGTTGAAAGTTGAAATTTCTCAGTTTTATTTTGACATTTCTTCTTTTCATTTTAACATTTCACACTTCAAAATTGACATTTTCAAGTTTATACTTCCTACTTCAAAGTTTGCACTGTTTATATGATCTAAATCTCTCATCCTTCTAACAACTATGCGATTGAAACTATAAATGAAACATTAGAGATTTGTTTAAATTTATTGTTTTGTTCCTATATATTTATTTTATTCACTCATTATGTTGTATAAACACAGTAAACTATCTTAAATATTTAAAGGTATTGAATGAACTTCAAGGATATAGTAACTCCGGATTCTTTGCAATATTTGATGGATGGGATTTTTGGTTGCCAAGACCTGTTAATGACAGGGATGCATTTTCGATTTTTGCTGTAAGTACAAGAGCACAAATGATTGAAAACTCGATTCAAGCTATATTTCTGAGAAATTTCCAGTATTTGAAATGTAAAATACAGTGGAGCCATCTAATTTTATCCTGGTATTTACGATGAGTTTATTTACAACCACTGGGTCAATGCCACTGCAAGTGGAGGTTTACATCTTAAGGGTATCACCAGCCAAGTAGTCAGTACTTTAGTGTTGTCAAGAATTATCATTGATTTCGAGCGTCACTGATGAGTCTTTTGTAGACAAAACGCGCGTCTGAAAGGAAGAGTCAAACTCATAAGTCGACAATAAACTGACGACGCCATGACAAAACACGAAAAGTGACCAAATTGCAATTTACCTGTAAGACGTAGTTTAGATAAAGAGGATCGAAGAAGTAAAAGTAAATACAGTCTTGGATATATAGTTCTGTCATTTCTCCATTTTCGTATATTATTTTTATTAACAAAATTAAAAAAAACAAACATGTTACATTTATAATGCTAAAACACTTAAGAAATATGACTTCAAAAATACAAGTTATATGCTTCTTGGAAATTTTTTTAAAGTAATCGAATTAAATGAATTAAAAGACATTCCGTAATCAAACTATATTAAAATATATAAATCAAACATGCGTTAATAAAATGGTCAGAAATAATTTTACACTCTCGATTTTTTTTTAAATTCGTATATTTTGTTTTACAGGGAGCTGGTGTTTATGTACTTACAGATGCGCTGCTTTATCAGTATATTTCTCAACAAGGACGTAAGCATTTATAACTTACAAAAATTACGTGAAAGATATTGATATGACAGCCAATAGAATAAACTATATGTTGTTCTGGTGTGCATCACTATGAATTAATGCCAAATGTAACTCTCATCAATACAAAAGTCCTCTTAAAATAACAACATCGATTAACATATCGAAATTAAACACTCAACCTTCTTTTTTGGGGGTATTGAATGCGAATGTAACATTTGTCACTGAGCATCTTTCGATTTGACTGAGGAACACAAAATCAACAAAAATATAAAGGGCTTTCGAAAGAATGAATATTTCTTTATCCACTTCGAACATCGATCCGTCGTCGAACATATGAACTCATGTCTGAAAAGAAAGAAATGATTAATCAGCTCGCTTAGGACTTACCAATTTCTATATATGAATTGTCTGCTCTATGGTCGGGTTGTTGTCTCTTTGAAACATTCCCCATTTCCATTCTCAATTTTATATATCAGTTGATCCGAATAGTTCCAAGTGGTATAGGTGAAAACATTACTTTGAACATTTTACGTTTGCCTTCACCAGTTGGTTGACCGCTATGAAATATCTGTTTCACAGATGGCGACGGATATTCTACAATTGTTGTTATCGTTATCCCGTCCTCTTTTTCTAATATGTGACCTACCCAAATAAACTTATCAACTCCTCCAGTTTTTGGTAGAGTTCGTGTTGCTCACACTTTAGTTTTATATGTTGTATTTGTGTACTATTGTTTGTCTTTTCGTCGTTTTTCGTTTCTTGCCATGGTATCTTATACCTCTCTTTTTAGATGCTGATATAAATTAGGGCGATAGTGTTTATCGAAGTTCAAATCTCGTAAGGTTTGAATAAGAGATACAACAACATAAGAGAAAATTCAAGATTAAAAACTTGGTACATTGCACCTACCCAAAAATGATCTAGACCGGTGCTTCGATAGAATAAGCGTTTCATAATGTGCATGCAACAAATGTCATGCAAATCCATAATCAGTTAATGTCACAATCTGGAATAAGACACATTCTTTAAAATTGCCAATCATATGGCTATAATGGGACCAAAAAATCTACGACCGCGGTAACTATTTGCTAGTGAGTTGGAAACCGACACAGAGTATCTGTCAAATAATTCGATATGGTGACCGTACATTTAATGTAGAAGTCGGTTTGAGTCATAACAGAGTATTTGAATTATGAAATAACCGGTGTTACTATAATTAATATTACCCTTTATTGGACTTTTTCTTGTTGTATGTTGGCTTTGGCTATCAGTTTTCATCTTGTAAAAATGTTTTTTTTGTTTTTTTACAAAATTGCACAGCGTTTTTAGTGTTGTCACATTGACAACCATTAAGACGATAATTGTTAGTAGTATTAATGCAAAATAATATAAATGAAGTCCACTCGTTCGAAGAAACAATTTTGCCGTTCACAACACAATTTGCTAGCAAGGAACGTATTATGATGCTGTGTAAATTTCAGCCATAAATGTTTTTCCTGTGGGAATATCAGGACCAACTCGTCTCTTCTTTGGAGGCGGCGTAGGCGGTCTGGGAGGCCTGGGAGCAGGTCTGGGAGGCCTGGGAACAGGAGGTCTTGCAGTTCCAACACGAACACGGAAGAACTTTCCAGAAACATGGTTATGGATAAACAGCACTACAGGGTGAGAATTAATCATTAAACAGTAATTAATTTCTGTAATATTGTCGTGATAATTTAAAAATTTGCACGGTTTACGTTTAATAATAATCTTGAAGCTCAAGCAAGCAGTTCAGATGGGTTTTCTTCTCCAGTTCAAACAAGAAAGGCATTTCCCGAAACATGGCTATAGGTTTATAGAACAACAGGGTGAGAGTGCTTGACTAATCAAAGGTTGAATGTAGGAAATATTATTTTTGTTATATCTGGATGGGCATTCATAATGTATTGCAAAATCTTTCCTTCTACTTTTCATTTTATTTACCAAATGTTTATTATCGATTGATATATTATGGAAATACTCGGGTAACTTGTTTAAGCTGAATGGGCACGTTGGGCATTATCTAGTGAGAAAGTAGTAGCATTTGCTCAATTGGCATCTGTTGGGAGAACTCGAAAGAAATTTCCTGAAACATGGATATGGGTCAGTAAAACAACAAGGTGAGCAACGGAAAATATATTATGTAAACCTTCGGATGATATCCGTTCTGAACACTTATTATATAGATATAAAAAGTGATATTTTGTGAATACATATAAGTTGGAATCTTTCGACTCTCTGTTTCATGTGTAAAAGAATTTAGGATGACATGATTCCATGTGATCAGATTATACATTTTGAGTTGATTTCATAGATTGCGAGCATTCTGTGAGTTAGTAAATCAAGTTGGTATTTGCATTAAGTTGAGTATTTTCTTGAACATCAACATATGTTCTTCACTGTTCGAGAAACATCGTCAAGGGTGGTTGTTTTATCTCATTTAGAGAAAACAAATTTATGGAACAGTCTCGGTCAAATAGGTAGGACATATGTGTCCTTTATTTCACTCAAAGAGTCACAACCAGTTGTAAAAACCTACTAGAATTTGAATACAAAAGAGTCTATATAATATACTTTAAGGCCTTATGATGACTTTTAGTTATGAACATCCTTGTCTTTTTGTCTTTGGTGGATTCTTATTTCATTGCCAAACATATCATACCTCCTTATTTTTATATTTTAATTCATTTTCAATAATTTCTTTATTAAAAATAAAAGAAGTATTATTCAACGATAAATCATGATATTGAAATCAAAATTACATATTTAACATGTTTTATAAGATTGCATAGAAGTACATCTTGAACCAAATAAATGCAACAGTAGTATACCGTTGTTCAAAAGTCATAGATCGATTGAGAGGAAACAAATCCGGGTTACAAACTAAAAGCGAGGGAAAAACATCAACTATAAGAGGAAAACAACGGAACAACATAAACACTGAACTGCTACAAAAACAAACGCCAACATACATAGAAACGGACTATTTGATAACAACTCCCATATTCCTGACTTTGTACAGAACATTTTTAGAAAAAATGGTGGACTGAACCTGGTTTAATGGCTCGCCAAACATCCCGCTTTATGACAATGTTGAAAAAATATCGCTAAAATTACAACTCTACGTGACAGTTATATAGTACAAACACATAATATAATAGTCGACACAACATGTAAACCGCAGAACAACAAAGAACATATTTAATCAACGACAGACACCACAGAAAATCACAAAACGCGCTTACGTAACTAACATGCAATATCGAATTTTATACAATTATTTTCACAACAATGTTATGGAAATGCAGTTTTATAATTATTTGGACTACAAACGATAGGACAAAAAACGCGAAAAAAAATTATTATCATCATTTCAAAATGTTTTTTTTTTCGCGTTTAACAATGTATTTTATCATGGCCACATGTATAATTGTTTTACAAGACATATTTATCTTTCACAGCAATATTGTCCCCTTTTGTGTGTTTTTCAGAGATTGCAATGATTAAAAAAAAGTACGCGTTATATTGAAATGATTTTTGGTACCAAGTATCGGGTTACTAAAATCTTCCCTGTGAAAGGGGCACCAAGCATACTATATACATTATAAGAGTTATTTCCCCCATTTCCCAAAACACTGTTATTGCTACTCTTCATAAACTAAAAGAGTTAACGACACATTTTTTTTTTAAATGTTTCTTACCACATGTCGCAACTTTGATACATTTAAATCGAAGCGATTTATTGACCTCTTATAGGAGTTATCTCCCCTTGAATATTTTACCTAGCGGTATGCTACGGTATCTCATAAAACATAATCCATAAAGACCTAGGGTCTTTTGATTTCAGATCCTTGGACAATAACTTGGAAAGATATAGGTCAAGGTCATGTTTAAGATTATGACGTTCCTTTGATCTCCCTATTATTCTCAAATGGTTATAGATAGAGGACATTTAAATGGTGAAAAATGTTTGGGTCTTTCAGGGGCAACTTTATTACAATATGACTGTATTGATTTAACCATTCTGTAATGGGCATAACCCCAATTGACGGTTTGCTAAACGACATTATTAGGCGTAACTATTAAACAAGAGGTCCTAGACCCATAGGGTCTTTAGCAATGGCATCGACCAATGACCTTGACAAAGGTGAAGGTCATAGGTCATGTTCATGTCCTTAACTGTCAACTTTGAGGTTTTTTTACCCTATCGTAAGGGTTTCATGCATGTTTTAACGCTTTTCAATGCCTTTTGCGTCTATTTAAATATATATTACTTTCCGTAAGGGACATGATTCCTATTGACGGTGTGCGAAGAGATATTATTAGCTATAACTATGAAACCAAAGGTCCATGGTGTCCGTCAAAATCTCAAGAAATTATATTTACATAAAACTGATTTTTTTACACACTTTGATTGGATTTGATAAAGAGAGACCTCCGTTTTCACTTCTGATTAGCACTGTAGGTAACAATTGCACAATTATTTACAATGCATTATTCATAGGGTACCTTGTCTGTTTGAATCCTAATAATAAAAAAAAAAAAAAAAAAATAGAAATTGCATTGACACAAAAGCCAGATTTTTAAAGTAGACATAATAAGAAGTAATTTCAGTAAGAGCTTCTAAAGTCCGCGCTAAATGACATAGCAAAATTTTTAGTTCGCTTGTTCTAAAGAAAAAACTAAAATTTCACAAAAACTTTCACATGAAATTAATAATTATAAGCATACCATCGAATCAGAAACCTCACAGTTTTTTATTCTTACTACCATCTTGGGGTTCAAAAATTTCCATGGTGTAGGGGAGTGTAACATGATTTTAGCGTTAGTCATAAATATACCACTAAATCCCCCCTATCAAGGGACAACTCCAGTATGTTGGTGCGACAAGTGTATGGCAGTATATTTTCTAAAAAAATGTGGAAGGAAAGACCTTTCAATTGTTCGTGAACAATCGATCTTTAATTAAATTCGTTCCTTTCGCTATAATGTTGAAATGATATTAGGTTTCGAGTATTGGTTGACCAAAAGCTATCTTGTGGTTAGGGCACCACGCCGTGTCATTTCCCTCATAGCGGTTATCTCCATTTACACCGAAAACCTTGTTATCGCTTTTTTTAAAAATTATTTTTATTTTTGTCCCCGCCAAACTATGACGACATTTCCCCAAAAAAGTTCGAAACATGTTGAAACGATATTAGGTATCATTATTGGTTGACCAAAAGCTATCTTGTGTTAGGGCACCACGCCGTTACATTTCCCTTATAGCGGTTATCTCACCTAACACCGAAAACCTTGTTATCGCTTTTTCTTAGAAACCGTAAATTTTTTAAATTGTTCCTTAGGACATAGAGCAAGTTTGTAACAATTAAGCCGAAGTTATCCGTTGACTTTTTATAGAAGTTATCCCCCTTAAATATTTGACGTAAGCGATGTGTCTCTAAATATCATGAACCGTAAGTCGTAAAGACCTAGGACCTTTTGATATGAGGTCCATTATCCATGACTTTGAAATTGAGGTCATGGTCAAAGGTCAAAGTCATGACCTAGATTTTGACCTTAGCTTGTTATCGGCATTATTCAAAAAGCGTTAAAGATGGCTGATAGAATGTAAAGGAGAATATGTGTGTCTTATAGAGATCTACGTTTGTTATATGGGTCCAAAATTATTACACCAACCATTATGGTCCTAGGGCACCAAACTGAATTCAGGGTCCGAAATGAAGATTTTTTGCTTATATTTCAAACCAGGTCAGAGTTAGAAAGAAACTTTGAATTGCAAAAATGTTCAGCATAATTTGATCTACAAAATTATGTCAATGTCAAAGGTCAAAATCCCTAGCAACGACATAAAAAACCTTAGCAACTATATTTTTTTGAACTTAGAAGGTTATGAATTATATAAATATGACATTTTAATACTGGAAATGGCATTTTTGTCCCTAGCAACGACATATAAGTCCTAAGCAACCTTTTTTTTTTTAACTTCAAAGGCTATGAATAGTAGATATGACATTTTTGATACTAGAAGTGACATTTTTGTCCTTAACAATGACATAAAGATATATTTATCCTTAGCAAGCACTCGTTATGAACATAAATAACCCCCATTAACGGTTTTTGAAAAGACAAAATTAGCTTTAACTCTTGAACCAAAGTTCCTAGACCCATAGGTTCTTTTGAAATGACATCATGGACCAATTACCTTGACACAGGTCATAGGTCAAGAGTCAAGGTCATGTCCAAAATTTCTAATAATGTTTTTTTGACAATATGTTAAGGGCTTTATGTGTTTTTTTTAGAGCTTTGTAATGCTTTCGACGCCAATTTAAACATATATTTTACATTGCGAAACGGAAAGACTTCTCAATTGTTCACGAAAAATTGATATTTTGATAATATCCTTGGTTTTCAAACCTTCGACTTAGAGTGCTCCTGAATAAGGTAAACGCATGATATTTTGTGTTGTTTTCTTCATTTTGATTTGCCAGTACTATTTTTTGCCGGTACACAAAAAAAATCGTTTTACAGAAAATATCGCATTTATAACAAATTAGAGAAACGTTACAAATCATGAGCGTTCATCTTTTGCGTTATGTACGTGTATCCTTTTGTAGAGAAGCAAATATTACCTTAGCTGAATTTGACAAAACCGTACTGAAGTTTTAGTCCTCAATGCTCCCTCAACTTCCATCTTTTTTGCCTCTGCAACTTTATTTGAGTATTATGTCACTGATAAGTGTCTGGTAGACGAAACGCGCGTCTGGCGATTGGCCTACAAGAAATAAACCTATTATATTGGATGAGCAATTTCTTTCTGCTCATTGTTGATGGCCGTATGGCGCCCTAAATTTTCTTTCATCTACGTCAGTTGGTTTCTGTTGGATAGCTGTCTAAGTGGCAATTATACAACATATTCTTATTTTCATATCTATGAATCAGGCAGTTACGTTTGAATTTACAATGTAAAACGTACGGTTTGAATAAGAGATACAACTTAAAATAAATGATGATGAAATTTAAATAAAAATATCCTGTTCATAAATCACTTGATATTATGAAACATTTTGAATCTGAATTTCTATAATCTTTTTTAAACCCGATTTTTACCAACCGAATTAGAATTAATTGTGGGTCTGTACTAAGAGGAGCAACACGACGGGTGCCACATATGTAGCTCTGCTTAACCCTCCGAAGCACCTGAGGTTGCTCAGCCTATAGTTTTTTATGTTGTGTTTTGTGTACTATTGTTTGTCTGTTTGTCTTTTTCTTTTTTAGCCATGGCGTTGTCAGTTTATTTTCGACTTATGAATTTGAATGTCCCTTTGGTATCTTTCGCCTCTCTTTTATATTCATTTTGATCTTTTAGATTATAATTTTTATAATAGTAGTATGTTACATCAAGGTATTTGTGCGATTATTTTAAATTTGCATAACTATTTATAATTTAAAAGACGTCTACAATGTATTTTCCTTTCGTTGAGTACTTCATGAGTTCTGTACAAATACGTTTTTAATTATTAATCAAAAAAGAGGGACGAAAGATACCAGAGGGACAGTCAAACTCACAGATCGAAAACAAACTGACAACGCCATAGCCAAAAATAAACAGACAAACAGACAAATAATAGTACAGATGACACAACATAGAAAACCAAAGACTAAACAACACGAACCCCATCAAAAACTGGGGGTGATCTCAGGTGCTCCAGAAGCGTAAGCAGATCCTGCTCCACATGTGGCACCCGTCGTGTTGCTTATGTTATTACAAATCCGGTAAATAGTCTAATTCGGTAAGTCACATTCGTGAAAAGGGAGGGTATTGTAGTTACGACATAAGGAACATATCCGATATCATCTGTGAAGCGGTTATTCCATAACGGTCAACCAACTCGTGATGGCGTCCGTAAAATTTACGAAGGGATGACTTCAACTTCACCATTTGGAACTCTTGGTTTAATAGCTTCCTTGTGAGCAGCAATCCTCTATCAAGGAAATCTATGGTTTTCTATTAAATCGTTGTATACCTTTTGCCTCCTTTTTATGTATTTTATCATTCGTTACAAGAATTGAAATATTATGAATAAAATGTGTATAATTATTATGTTCATGTGCAAAAAAAAAGAAATTCATTATAATGAAAAAAAACCCATTGGAATGCATACAATAGTAACCTTCTGCAATGTACACAATGAAGTTGCAGTGTGAAATCTCGCATCTCAGTTGCCGATATGATGGAGTACGATGGCGTTATTTCTGTATCACTGTGCAATGTTCTCTAAGCTTGGTTTTAGCAACTGCATTTATTATTTGGTGTTTTATTGTAAATGATATTGTTTTATGCTTAGCTGTTGTTTAATGTCAATCATTTCAGTATAATAGATGAAGGTTCATTTCTGATTTGTTTTAAATGTTCTGTTATTCAAATGATTGAGTTAAACAAAAAAAGGGGGAAATGGTTGAGTACTTAAATCTTGAATCTGTTTACTGTTCATAGTAATATAGCTTTGATTTACATTTTCAAGTATTTGTCTTAAAGGCAATTAAGTTTTGATGGCCGGATTGCATATAGTTCGATACGATAAGTGTGATTTAAAGCGAAGTATCACTTTGATACATTGTCAGTTTATAAATAACGTATTGTAGAGTGCAAGAGCTACATTGTTAAAATTGTGGTGATCAGCTACCTTCTAAACTTATACGATTAAAGCAGATAAAATACTACTAACAAGCCATAGCCTACATGTGATTTAGAGAATGATCGAGGTATTAAAGTATATGTTTACTGCCACTCATACAACTGGAGGGAAAACTTCAGCTGAATGATGGATCAGTTGCAGGAAAATTACAGAAAATGGATAAATCGAAGGCCATATGAACCAAGCCCTATACATTTATCTGAATGGATTGATTTTGTTCGATCATGCATTCAAAAGCATTTTCAAAATATGCGGTGTAAATGAGTAGACGTGTTTCTGACCATTTCATGAAAAACCCCAAAAATTACCCCTACATCATTCATCGACGAGAATATTTTAAAAAATCACCAATCCGTCCTTCTCTCCTTAGTATTAACATAAAAAAAAAACGACGAAAATATCCCATCTTTATATTGGATACCTGAATTTTATAAAATATCTATGACTAAAAATAAATAAAAGATGCGATATGATTGTCAATGAAACAACTCTCCACCTGAGACCAAATGACGTAACATTTTGCAACTGTAGGAAAGGTCACTATACGGTCTTTCCAATGAGCAAAACCAATACGAAATATCACGCTACATCAGGCTACGAATTGACTAATATAAATCAATTCAAACGAGAAAACTAACGACCTGATATATGGTAAAAACAATAAACAAAAAACAAACTTGATATACAGCATAAAAGGACAACCACTGAACTACCGGCCCACACAGAAAGTGGTGGGGTATAACATGTTTGCAGGCACATACTCTTACCTGGAAAGTTATGTGTCCAGTACAACAACAAAAAATTACTATCAAAATCAGCTGAAAAGCACGTAACTCATCAAATCAATACAAGCACAGAAACAACTAACTCAAAGAAAAGTACAGATCTGATCCTACTCATAATTACTGAAAGCTAGTTTAAAGCCAATTAAAACTAAGAATGCATCTCAATCTGTATATAGTTTTTTGCGGTCGTAGTTTTTTAGATACAGTAGAGTCGTCTTATCTTACTTGTCGACAAATTTCGACAAAAGATGTATATTCAGTGATGCTCGAGTCCAAAATATTTTAAAATCCAAACCTTATTTAAAAATAAAGAGCTAATGAAAAAACAAAATGAGCAAAACGTATAGCCAAAGCCGGGCAAGGAATCAGAGCTTTGCATGAGGAGGGAGATGTATACTTCATTCAAAATAACACAATATCCGTGACAGTACATAAGTACTGGCTAATGCCATGGCAAAAAAAAAAAAACGAAAAACGATCATAAGACAATAATAGCATACAAAAAACTAAAGACTGGGCATAACAAATTGTCTTTACCTGTCAGTTTTGCACTCGTGATCAATAACTATTCAGAATACATGTACTAAAGTCCTTTATGTATGCAAAGGACAAAACAGAATTGTAAAAATGAAAATAAAACAATCACGTAATATTTTCGACAACAATTATTGGATTACCTTTACATTTCTTCAATCAACCATTTAAATTGTAGGCCACAAATCAGAAGCAATGTCGTGTAGTAGTTAATACAAATTGCAGCTGATAGAAAGATAGAAAAATTAAAGTGTTTTACGAATAATCGTTTCGAATGAAAGAATAATTCGAATAGCATATTCAATCATGTCTAAGTTATGAAGGTGACTTGATTAGATAATAATTACTTATATATTTTAATACCAGTCACAGGTACAATTTATATATTTACAAAATTTTAAGTTTTGATTTAACCTTACATGTAAATAGACTAGCAAATTAGGAAAAGCGCAAATATTCTCAAAAGCGGTGTTTTTAAGAATTTCAACAAGAATTGAATAAAATCTGACTTGGAATTATTCTACATAACACACCCTTCATTGACGGATTTCCAAAAAACGAATTTATAATATATTAACAATGATAGAAAAGAACTCGTATCAACTAAAAGACGACATTTCTTTCAATATTGTTTTTTTCTGTTTTGGAATGTGATTCTCCTCGGTCCCAGGTCAGGGGTCTGTAACTAAGTGATTGTCGTTCGTTGTTGTCTGTCATATTAGTTTTTCTTTTATTGGTTTTTGTTAAATAGATCAGGCCGTTGGTTTTCCCGTTTGAATTGTTCTCCTTTTACGAAATGTGTGTTTTTTTTTAGCTGACTATACGGTATTTACTTTGTTCGTTCTGGGAGTCATTACGGTGGCCTAAAGTTGCTTACATAAACGTGAGTTGGTCTACGGTGGGTAGTTGTCTCTTTGCAATCATACCACATCTTCTTACTTGTATGTACGTGTCTATTTTAGTCAGTCATTATCAATAATGAACTTCATTGTTCATCAACAATATGATTTTCGGTCAATTAAAGTGTTTTTTCGACTTATTCAGAGACTTAATGCTCCGAGTTAGACAGATATCAGAAAATAGCATGAACATAGTCCCAAGTTCTCCGTTTATTTGTGCAGAATGTATGTATAATACATATATATTGTCGAAAAATGTATGGACAGAAGATACAGGAAGAAAACCGAAGAATATTGGACTGTTTCTTAGTGACTACAGATATACAATCTACGCTTAAATATACAAAAGATTGTTAATTGGGAGTACAATTGATAATAGCTCTAATCGTAATGCTAAAAAAAAAAAAAAAAAAAAAAAGGATTTAACAAAGTCTCTATGTAGTTACATTTATAACTACTTATGTCTGTTGGAATCACGCTATTATATGGAATCTATTCCAATATATCAAAGTAATAATAATAATTTAATTTTAGTTCGGATGGAACCGCAACAATAAGAACGACAGCTCCTGACACTATAACAGAATGGATTGCATCAGCATTTGCTGTTAATCCCAGCTCGGGTCTCGGAGTTGCGGCAACTACTGCAAATGTAATCAATATATGTTTAATAGTATGCCGAAGACGAGTTTACAATTAAATTAAATTCTAATTTTAAAGACAAAGGTCTGTTTATGAATCGTTGTAATTGTCTGGATGTCATGTAGATCTTGTATACATTTTGCACAAACTCAGAATTCAGAACATTTGTATTTTTAGTAACAGAGAAATTTACGTATAGGAAAAAATATGATTACTCAAATCGTAGAAGAAAAACTTTCTAATGCAATTTACATTAATTTTTAACATCTTATGTTATGTCATCTTATCATATTTGAAGCAGCACAATCATTTTACATTATGCAAAAATAATTGTTGGAAGTTTTCATTTTTATAATTTCAAGAGCAATACGTTTAACAGACATACAACTAGTAAAGCTAATACTTTCTATTTCAGTTAACAACTTTTCAAAGGTTTTTCATGCGTTTTGAACTTCCATTTTCTGCCATACGAGGTGAAATTATTATAGTCCAAGTCACAGTTTTCAATTACCTAAAAAAAGATCAACAGGTAAAATTTCATTAGCTTTGCTGTAAAATATCAATTTTATAAGCTTATATAAAAGTATATATAACCGTTGATTTTTAAAGGTTCCCCGACAATTTAGATGCGACTAATATTTTAATATCATAATTGCACTTGTTAATTACTGTAATCTATATGGATTACGTTGTATATAAACACACACACACACACAAACACACATACATATATATATATATATATATATATATATATATATAATTATCAGCACAACAATGTTAAATCTGCAAATTTGCGGAGCCAATTTTTGTTCTTCCCTCGCCTGGATTCGAACTTATGCTATTGGGTTATTGTGACAACACCGCTTGCACTGTGAATTAAACCTGGTTTTATAGCTAGCTAAACCTCTCATTTGTATGACAGTCGCATAAAATTCCATTATATTGACAACAATGTGTGAACAAAACTGTCAAAAATGTCAAAAATAAGGGTATGTGCAATCAAGATTGTGATATAATCTAAATAATAAAAACAAACAAATATGTCAACAAAGAAAAACAAAATGGCATATAGACAAAGCACATAAGCAAAAATGAAAAACAAGAATACAAAAAATGACGATAGCCCAATAACACAATGGCGGGATGTATAAGTACCAAGCCATGCCAAAGGATATCACCAATAATAACCTAAACAGTAAAGTAAATAATTTAAAAAGACAAATAAAAGAACACTATAACACGAAATTATGATGAACAGCATCAGTACCTAGAATCTATACTTCAAGACCATCGTGTATTATTTGTGAAGTTGATACGGAATATTTATCAACAAGGTCTTGGTATCTTCCGATGAACCTTTTTAGAAAAAGGACGAGACGTTTTTTTACATAACCCTTGTTCATCAACTTTCTGCTTAGACACTGGTGACGTTTTATAAAGTCTAGATAGCAGCTTCAAGCTCTTGAATACCGAATGAGTTGGGAAATGTATATCCCATATGCAGGTGAAGTTAATATATTGCTACTGAGGTGGGGTAAATTGATAATTTCAAAATTAAAATCGTCTCATTTGTCATAGATTCTGGTACTGAGATGACAGCTTATGTCAAATTCGAGGTAAAAGCCAAAAAATGGGACAAAGGAAGCCGTGTCTGTTGTTTGTATAGTTTCACATTCTGGAGGATATATTAATTGAACCCAATCAGAAAAGTTTGGATTGTTAATGGAAAGAACATCATCAATATATCTGAATGTGAAATTAAAGGATCTGGCTTCTTTGATTTTCTTGTTTTTGACAAGTGTCTGAAGGAACTCCGACTCATATGAAAATGAGAGGTCGGCAAGGAGAGGCGCACAGTTCGTTCCCTTAGGAATGCCGACAATTTGTTGAAAAAGTCTACATCCAAATTTAACAAATATGTTGTCAAAAAAGAACTCCAGCATACTGATCACTTGTTCCTCTGTGTAGCATGTTTTACCTTTTTGTTCACTTTTAACAAAATATGCCGTATGGTATCCCTAAGTAATAAATTTACAGCGTATGCTACCATTTTTATATGGAAAAGCATTGTGGATTATTTCGTTTAGACGATTTGTCAATTTCACAATGGGAATGGTGGTATACAGGGTTGAAAAATCAAAAGTTTTGATATAATTAATTTCAGAGAAAGATCGAGATTTAAATTTATCCAGAAGTTCTTTAGAGGTTATTAGAATCCACATATGGTTAATACCACTACGCGAGTAAACAGTTTCTCAGTATTTCTGAAGACCCTCTTTCAATGCGGACAGAATTTTATTCAATCTGATGGACAATTCCTTCGTAGAACATGCAGATGAGCCGGCAATGTACCGTTGTTTGTACGGAATTTTGTGAAGCTTAGGTATCCAATGCAAACAAGGTATTTTATGCTTGCCCTTTGTCAAGTAAACACAACGGACGTAAAGAAATCAGCAATTAATTAACAAATCAATCAATTCATAAATCAATCAATCAAACATTCAAGTTATACGTATAGATATATATCAATATATATAGCTGCTGTCGTCTAGGTTTAAAAAAAATAAAAGGATGCACGGAGACAACAATCCAGCTGACAGAAGATGTCATCAAACGTTATTCATCATTTAAGTTTGGAACTATACTCGATTGTCAAATACATACAAATCATATAAATTGAGAGATGGTCATACCTTGAGTGCAGATATACCATATTTCAATTCCGATAATATCTTTATTTTGAATAATTGATAATCTCGGTAAAATTTTCTTTATCCATATACTCGAAAGAGTACAAATAGGTAGAAATATTTACCTTTGTGGTTATAACTAGGCGTCCTCAAAATATGTTGTTGCATTATTTCTCGGAGTTGTAATACACTAATCAGCTACCTTTTCAAAGTCTGAATAAGTGCAAAATGATAACACTTGCGTATTTTTCATTTGGAGATTGTTACGCTATATGAACTTTAAAGTTATTTCTATATTCTTAAAAACTTAATATGAAGTTTACTTCCAGGTTTCAGTGAAGCTTGCTAATAATGTAAACTTTACCTTTGTTGATGCAAATGGAAACGACTTCAATCCAGCTCCAAACGGTTGGAGAAAGGTAATTGTGCTATGATAGTAATCCCATGGTGTTGCATAAATCATTTGATAGTTTAAAACCCATTAATTATGATTAGAGTATCAATGAATATGTATACTAATTATCATCATTTATAAAACATCCAAATACTCATTGCTTATTGTTGTGTACAGTAAGTGACCCATATTTGTTGACATCTTTGTCATTCTATCTGATGCAGATAGTTGTCTCATCGGAAATTATACCATATTTCCGTATCTTTGTATTCATTTAGTTTGTTCATTGTTTTTTATTCATATTTCCATACCATTGGATATATTTTATTATCGTTTTAAATATACACTCCTTGTATATAATATATGCAGAGAGGAAGATGTAGTATGATTACCAATGGGACAACTATCCACTAGAGACCAATCACCCGTCCCCCTAACAGTGGTGTTACAGCACAACATAAGAACAAATTGTAAAAATCAGTTGTAATGGCTGAATTCGAAAGATCAGGTCAAAGAACAAAATAATACAATCAACATAAAAAAACAGACAGTTTTTGCATTTACTGAAAGCTTGTTTGAATTTGTTTACGACTTATTAAAAAGTTATGTCCTCCCAAACAACCTGTATCAATTAGTGCACATCATACAAAGTTAATGTTAAGACGTTCTAAACAGCATGAGAAACGCTTGTGCAATGCCGTTATATATAGTTATATTTAAATCTTAAAAAAAAAAACCAAATTCAAACTTATGTTCATTCAAAGGATCATTGCGTTTATATGGACCGTATATAAAATTACGGATTCTCTTAAGAACATCACCGTTAAAATAATATGTAATAGGCCGTTTTTAATAAGGATTCTACAGATACCGCCAAAATTTATTATATGTGTATCTATGATAAATTTAGTATACGTTTTAAGTAATTTTGTAACGAAATCCATAACTAAATAATGTACAAGTTATAGACAGATAACATTCATTCAAATCTTAAACGTCCCTTCAGACACGGGCAGAGTAAATATGTGTCTTCCTATTTATCCAAATAATTGATTGTCGTTTTTTAAATGATTGCAGTCTGTGTTTGTGAAGAAAAACAGTGTTGAATCTGTATACTTTCCTCTTAAACCAACAGCTCTTGGTAAAATACTTTTGGACGGAACTGCAAGATCTACTATAGGTGCCGATGCTGTTCAGCGTGAATTCCTGATAGAGGTAATTTAATCATTTATATAAGCAGAACGATCATTTAAATTTACCACTATTTGTTGCTTTAGGTGAAACACCAATAATTCGGGCCCCTTCAGAAAGAATATACCAGAAAGTAGTACAAATTAATAACAAAATAGGTCCTCCGCTTAACTTTTAAAAGAAGGGTATATTTTGCCTGGTTTTCAGATCTGAAGTACCTATTTTGGTACTTCCTATATTCCATGAACTAGTACGCTCTTATATCCAATCAAAGGTATGTTGAATTTTTCAGCACAAGACCAGTTAAGGTATTGCATTGACATAAATAAAGGCAACAGTAGTTTACCGCTGTTCAAAAGTCATAGATCGATTAAGAGAAAACAAATCCGGGTTACAAACTAAAACCGAGAGAAACACATCAACTATAAGAGGAAAACAACGAAACAACAGAAACACTAAACTGCAACAAAAACAAACGCCAGCATACATAGAAACGGACTATTTGATAAAAACTGTTTTCCGAGTGCGAATTCGCATTGCTATACGACGTGTCTCGGTATTTATACATCCAACATTTATGTATTTAGTTATGATGTTTCTTTTGTAAGTACTGTTAGATATTGTGTAATATCTTATCGTTTGTGGTTTGAATTCTATATTGTCGGTACATTTCACATATGTCTTATTTGTCAAAATAATTATGACGTCGTCACAGCATTAATTTAATATAGCCTTTCAAGACTGTCATTATCTAATAGTTATTTGGACTAGTATTGTGAAAATAATTGTGAATTTTTGGATCTCGCTCAATATAACTGTATGAATTTCAAGATTATATATACGTCACTTTTTGTGGTGTCCTGTGCTGTCTTAAAGTCATGGTAGATGTCCGTTGTTATACTGCGGTTTACATGTTGTAATGTATTATTATATTATTTAGTTATGCATTTATCTGTGCTGAGTGTTGTTGTATATTTTTTAACATTGCCATATAAGCGGGAGGTTTGGCTAGCCACAAAACCAGGTTCAACCCACCATTTGTTTCTTAAAATGTCCTGGACCAAGTCAGGAATATGGCAGTTGTTGTCGAATGGTCCGTTTCTGTGTATGTTGGCGTTTTTTATATTGTTGCTGTTCGGTGTTTCTATTGTTCCGTTTTTTTCCTCTTGTAGTTCATGTGTTTCCCTCGGTTTTGGTTTGTGGCCCGGATTTGTTTTCTTTTGATCGATTTGTGACTTTTGAACAGCAGTATACTACTGTTGCCATTATTTGTTACTTGTTTTCGTGTTGAATATAAACTTTTCTTCAAATCGGATAGAGAACGTCTTGCCATGTAGTAAAGCATAATCGGTTAAAACTACAGTAAATTGAGTAAGTGTAAAATGAAGCCTTATATTGGATATGGGTAATTAAAATTGTAGGCCGAAGGTATAAAACAAAACTACAACGTTCCATTACTTATTGACCTCCGACAAAGAAGAAGGTTTACAGAGACCATTCCTTTGTCTTTCCCGCCAAATCTTGTTGAAGATTCAGAATTTATCAAAATTCAAGTGATTGGTGAGTATGCAATATAATCATATTAAACTCTAAGTACTTATTTTAACAACAGTATTCTGATTTTCTTATATTGACAGTTTCAATTATAGATTTAACAGCGGGTTTTCTTAACAAGTCATATGCATGCTATAATGCAATAAAAAAGGAACAAGAAAACTACTGGTTTAAGTTTAAATGATTACAAGTCATGCTATAATGCAATAAAAAAGGAACAAGAAAAATACTAGTATACGTTAAAATGAGGCCCCTTACAAAATCAAATGATTGTTTTATTGGTGTTTATACAATCTTCTAGATACAAGGCACATCGTGAAAAATAAACCAATAAAAGAGAAATAAGTCAGAAAATGAAAAAGATAAAAACATAGTAGAAATATTGTGTTACTTGAAAATTACTAGAAGACATTACATACAATGCTTTGTCACAGACAAATTCAGAAATTCACTTTTCTACTCCTACAACTACATGCGTAAGTAATGTCTAAACCCTTTTTAAAGTCGAAAACATTGCCGTTCTCTTGACACTGCACAAATTTGGGTTATTTTCATTATGTTCATTTCTCATATCATCATCTGTAAATCAATATAACATTAATCTTAAAGAACAGCATTAGCCATAAGTGTAACATATTTTTCACAGGCGACCTTTTAGGGGCAACACTAGCGGGACTTGAGGATCTTCTTCAGATTTCATACGGTTGTGGAGAACAGAACATGGTTAGATTCGCTCCAAATGTTTATGTCAGCACCTACCTGAGAACAACAAACAGACTTACAAATGATGTATTAAATAGAGTGAAAAACATTTTAGAGGGAGGTAATGCATATATATATATATATAAATACAGCTAGAAGATCAAACGTACAAGGATAGGAGGGCGTTATTTGCCTAAATGGAGAAAAAAATTACTGCAATTTCATTTTACGACTTATGCCAAAAACGGATACTTCCATCTTTCAAAAAGGGTGGGTGGATGTACGCCTCCTACGCCTGTTGAATCAGCCACTTGGATATAAATTCATAATCAATTAAAACTTATACCAAATTAGGGCTAACAAGTAGAACGTTAACCTAGTATGCTTGTGTTCATTTGACAGTGAACGGTTTGCGATATCATTATCATTTTAAAAGTATTGTTTATGAATAAAAAATATAACCAGGAACGAATGTTAAAGACATATATGCTTCAACAACAATCAATATCTGAATGTTCTGTTGAATAAAACCACTAATTCATAGCCCCCTTTCTTTCTATGTTAAATTCTGCACCTTCAAGCATGCATAGCTATTTTGTCTTAAGTTTAAATAAAGTGGTAATCATTTCATGCCAAAACTATGCCTTATCCTGAATTGTGCTAATAAAATCAACATACCTTTAATTGCATATTAGAGATCACTGGTTCCCGGAAGTTTGGTAGTACAAAAACAGGTACTGAGCAACAAGGCAAATATGCCATCCTATCTTAATTTCATATCTTTTTTTATTATTCTAAAGAAACTTTTAACAAGGGTTCTAAAGTGATCCCAAGTCCTTAAGCTTTCAGGTGATACTAGAATTACCCAAATATTATACTTATTGACAACGTTAAGGCTATGCATAGGAACTATTTTGTTTAAAATATGTACTACTTTCTTGTATGTTCTTTTGACCGGGCGGAATTAGTGGTTCTACACCTTAAATAGCTATAAACAAGTTGCACTTTTATTACTTATAAGGATCTCTTTAAAAAATGCATACAATTTATTAACATTGTTCTCTTAAATAGGTTATCAAAGAGAACTTTCATATGTTCATAACGATGGATCCTTCAGCGCTTTTGGAAATGATGATAAAAGTGGAGCTACGTGGTAAGATTTATTCATTATAATGTCTGAAAATCCCACCAATGTGTACATTATCTGTATGTTTTGAAATCTTTTAACACATCGTATACTAATATTAGAACTAGTATTAATGGAGAAACACACACCAATAAAAGAAAACGATCAAGGCAACAACAATGAAAGATGATCATGGAACGCCAAAACTGTCTTGTTTCATTATATGATGTGCATTTACCTTTATATGATGTTCACTTGTCATTAAATGGTGTGTAAACACCTTTATATGATCTGCAAGTATCCTTATATGATGTCCACATATCATTATATGATGTGCAAACATCCTTATATGATGAGCAAATATACTTATTTGATGTGCAAATATACTTATATGTTGTGCATAAATCCTTATATGATGTGTAAATATACTTATATGGTTTCATGTGCAAATGTACTTATATGATGTGCAAAGATCCTTATATGATATGCAACTATACTTATATGATGTGCGAATATCCATATATGATGTGCATTTTCCCTTATATGACGTGCAAACATCTTTTTACGATGTGGTTGTGTCTTATATTATGTGCTTGTAACATTATATAATGTGATTCGGTTTACTTCATTATACGATGTCAAAACGTCCTGATATGATGTGCTTTCATCGTTGTTATGGTCAATAAACATGATTACGATTAGAACGATTACTGTCTACGTCATAACTGATTCCGATCTGCTTCTCCGGAATTACTATAAACCCTGCTCAAATCTGTACCTTCCCTTTGGAAAATGGTTGAGCTTTTAAAAGGGAAACATTGGCACGTTGACACCTCGTTTTAAAGATGAAAAAGTCACATCTTATATAATTGTTGAAAAATTGCCAAAGTTTAGGTTTAATTGATGGTCTACAATAATGAACATAAGGTTAAAGTTATCACATTGTGGTTCCTTGACTTTGTATTGAGTACCTGGACTACAAATATTAGATCTTCCAGAGGACATCCTGCAATTTTTTTTAATGCCTGTTTACTGTTTCTGATCTAGCAGCTCCAGCCTCGTATCAGCTTCCGAGAGTGCATTTTATAGCAACAATGAGACAGTGCAATTTAACAAAAATCAAAAATCAACGTTTCAAACATTTCGGAGGAAGATTTAGATCAATTGAAACAGGAGCAAGTTGAAGAATTTCCCGGCTGCGATGAAAATATGATAAAACAACTTCTATTGCAAAAGTCACCAATTAAATCCCAGTCATGTTTAAAAGTATTTCTTAACAATAGCTATAAAATGATCTGCTCATGCATAATTATACCGGTATGGATGATTAATTGATTGATTAATTGGTGTATTGATTGATGTTAAACGCCACTTTTAACACAATCATTCAATTTCGTGGAGGTCAGTTTATATTGGTGGAGGAAGCTGTAGTGCCTGGGGAGAACCACCGACCATCGGTAGGAAAACTGACAATTCTAGTCAATTAATATTGTAGTCGAGCTTACCTGCAACGTGCGGTATTCGAACTCACAAACTAAGTGTTGACAGGCTAGTGATACAGTAGTTCGACTGATAAGGAGATATGGGATGAAATTCAACTCGGTGCATTACATTCGCGCGCAGCTCTTTATTACGATATCGTGCATTTATTTTACAGCTTCCACTAGATGACGATGGATAGATGCTTAACTTCCAGAGACAAGTAAATATGCATATTCAGGACGAGAACATGTTAATGTAATATAAATATTTACACTGCTTTGTATTACACCGACAAGCTGAGCCGGATATTGCACGTGCTAGTTCACAAGGTAACAGTCCACATGAAGACCTATCATCTTACCAGGACACATTATTCTGATTCCGAGACGACCAGTCTTTGCTTTTACTCCTTAATGCCGTGTGCTTAGCGGGGAAACAGCAAATACTAATTTAAAAGTCCTTGGTGTGACCCGGCTGGGGTTCGAACATACGACCTCCCGCACTCGAGGCAAAAATGCTACCATGAAACCAAAGAGGCGGTGGCTTCAACTAGACAGTAACCTGCAATATAAGAGGTTTCCTGTGAGTCCGCTCATATATATGTTAGCGGATATAAGTGAAATTAGGCATTAAGCTTAAATCCTAGGCAATAAGCTAACGCCTAGGCAGTAAGTTTATTGCCTGAATAATGTTAGGCATTACTCTTAAATCCTAGGATTTAAGCTTAAATTCTGAAAATTATGCCCAGGCATTAATGTTAATGCCAAAAATGATATTGAGAGTAAATAAAAAGAAATTTGTTCAAAGTTAAAATACATTTTGTACATAACAAAATAATAAGAACTGAAATTTAAATATCAATTACATGAAATAAAATCATAAGTAAAATATTGATGATAAAACTCATTGAATAAACCTTTTGAAATATATTTTAACTTGTTGGGTAGTTGTCTCATTGGCAATCGTACTACATCTCCTTATTTTTGTATTGATAGAGAATTGTATTGAACTTTATTTGTGACACATTTTATTCTATGGCACAGACTATTTCACAGCTTTAATTTTTTCTATCATTTTTACCTGGCGATCGTCCAATACCTTTGTGTACAGCAGAATTATTTCGAATATAGTCGAATTTGATTCCAATTAACCACTGTTATAAGACTATTTACCGGATTTGTAATAATATAAGCAACACGACGGGTGCCACATGTGGAGCAGGATCTGCTTACCCTTCCGGATCACCTGAGATCACACCCAGTTTTTGGTGGGGTTCGTGTTGCTTAGTCTTTAGTTTTCTATGTTGTTTCATCTGTACTATTTTTTGTCTGTTTGTCTGTTTATTTTTGGCCATGGTGTTGTCAGTTTGTATTCGATCTATGAGTTTGACTGTCCCTCTGGTTTCTGTCGTCCCTCTTTTTTAATTCGTTGTTTCTCATCCATGCAGTAAGCATGTCATGAACATTTCGGTTTGACCACTCAATACAACCCTGTGATTGGAGATGAATTGGCTTCCCATGAACGATAACAAGTTCTGGCCACATTAGTATTAATTTAGCTATAACAGCAGCAAATGCACGACCTTTGTGACTTTGATGTTTTTATTATACCTCAGTTATCCTTTTCTATATAAAATAAGTACACAATATTTTGACTATTTTTCAAATTGCAAGCGTTGAACTATTTGACCAGTCAATAGTTTCAAACTATTGGACCTCGATGAAACTTTTTGACCGCAGGCGTCATTATATTTCGCAGAATTTCAAATGCAGCTACGGGGTTGGAGGATGTTGAGAATACCGTGGGAGTTGCGACGTCGCGTTTTACCTATTGTTTATAGGGTTGACGTCTGTACAGGACGTAGCCTTAGCATTCGATACATACATGTATATGAAATAAACATTAAACAGTATGCTTATGTTTCTGCTTTTTTATATTACGATAGTTGATTTAGCCCCGACATTTATTGTCTGTTGTCTCTTTCGGTATAATTAAACACTTACTGACTGGATATTCGTGAAATAGTAAGTTCATTGTCCCCTCGGATACAACTATTGCCCTCGGCTACGCCTCAGAGCAATCGTTGCACCTCGGGGACAATAAACGTACTATTCCACTCATACCCAGTAATAAATATAAAATATGGCACACCAAATATTGTGAAAACATTAACTAAATTAGAAACCACATTCGAAGCGTTTTTTGACGTAAAAGCTCTAGAAATATAATTTTTGTTCAGGCTATCCTGTTACACCATAAGATAGCATAGTTTCCATCTCACTTTGATAGGAAATCGATTAAATGAACTTGCCCTCTACTGCAAAACTCTTTGGATAATACGGGTTTTACTATTTCCCTCTTCCCTATGCACATTTTATTATGAAATAGTACAATGGAGTCATGGGAAATGTTTGCAAAGCCATTATTAAGTTGTTTAATTATATGGTCTATAATAATAATAGGCCGCTTTGACATATTTCTTTGAATATATGTTTATTTTTGGCCATGGCGTTGTCAGTTTGTTTTCGATCTATGAGTTTGACTGTCCCTCTGGTATCTGTCGTCCCTCTAAGCTGTGAAAAATATGTTTTTTTCTCCCCAAATTACCATACAGTTCCTCTAGAAAAAAATAAACTTTGAAATTTCCCTCATGCATTCTCTTTTACTTAAGTTACCAGTCTTTAAAACCTTCCATGGTAAAAAATTGTCAAATGTTCATTGTACTTTTGCCTTGTGTATATGATCTTTGTTTTCACTGATTAAAATGTATATTCCCGCAAAGATTTAAGAAAATGTTTGTTTCTTTAATGCTAATAATTCAGTTTAAGAAACGAAAAGACAAGATAGGTATTTAGGTGTAATACCACCAAATCATAGTACGTCACATCCGTTTGCATACGAAAATAGGTCGAAAAAAAATATTCCCTTGAATTTGACAGTTGTAGGTAATTGATCCTACATTTCATTGCAGTAAAACATTTCTGGGTCATAATCATATATCTTGGGTATTTCAAAGCACCATTATTTTTTTATTTTGGGTTTCTATAGAATATTTTGGAAACTTGCGGTTACATGGTTACTAAAGCTTGTACACAGGTTAAAAAAGGGGAAAATTTGATTGGTTAACTTCCAGTGATGGTTATTTTCTTATATGCAATGAAATGGTATGTGAATTTTTTTTTATAGTACTGGACAGGATAAAACTTTACTCATGCCAAGTATTTTTTTATTTGAAACAAAGATAAATTCTGCACAAATTTTTGAAAAGTGCAAATTTAACAAAGACTAATAGGGAAAAATCAATGGTGGTATTACACCTAATATGGGAAGCTGTACATGCACATTTGACCTTGTGAGTACTCTCATGTGTTAAAATTTCTTGCTATTTAAGTGAAATATTACAAATAATGAAATATTCTGAGTGGATTGAGTATCCAAAACACATTTTATGAGAAAATTTCCTTGAAATAGGACTCTACCATGAATATTAGTTGACAGAACAAGCCATACTTAGTGTTTTGGGGAGCTTTTTCTCCTTATTTCTT